CCCACAGATTGCCGAGATCGTCAAGGGCAAGATTGAAGAGGATGCCAGTGTTTACTTTGTCCCTGCTACTCTGCGTCCAGAGACGATGTACGGTCAGACCTGCTGCTTCCTCGGCCCCAAGATCAACTATGGTATCTTCAAGGCGAAGGAAAAGGAATACTATGTTTGCACAAAGCGGGCTGCATGGAACATGGCTTTCCAGGGCACTTTCTTCAGCAGTGACAACTTCCCCAAGTCTCAGGATCAGTTGCCGCTTGTCGCGGAGGCTCCAGGATCCGCCTACGTTGGCACTCTTGTTAACGCTCCACTCTCGTTCCACACCGAGGGTGTGCGAATTCTGCCCATGGAGGGCGTTTCTGCCAGCAAGGGTACTGGTGTCGTCACCTCTGTGCCATCTGACAGCCCCGACGATTATGCTACTTTGGCTGACCTCGCCAAGAAGCCCGATTACTATGGTATCAAGAAGGAGTGGGCCGAGCTGGAGATCTTCCCCCTTATTGAAACTCCAACTTACGGTAGCCTTACTGCCCCTACCCTTGTTAAGCAGCTGAAGATCAACTCTCCCAAGGATGTCACCCAGCTGGCAAAGGCGAAGGAGTTGGCATACGGTGAAGCCTTCTACAAGGGTACTATGGTCGTTGGTGAATACAAGGGTGAGCCTGTCAGCGCTGCTAAGGACAAGATCCGTAAATCTCTTTACGACAGCGGTGATGCTTTCCCCTTTGCCGATCCCATGGGAGAGGTCGTCAGCAGAAGTGGAGATGACTGTGTGGTTGCGTACCTCGGTCAATGGTTCCTGAACTACGGAGAGAACGACGCCAAGTGGCAAAAGGACACACTGGACCACGTCGTGAACACCCTCAACACATACACCAACGAGACCAAGCACGGCTTCGAGAAGAACCTTGACTGGCTCAACCGCTGGGCTTGCGCGAGAACCTATGGTTTGGGCTCTAAGCTGCCATGGGATCCTCAGTTCCTTGTCGAGAGTTTGAGCGACAGCACTGTCTACATGGCCTACTACACCATTGCCCATCTGCTGCACGGTGACCGCTACGGTCAGACTCACGGCCCCTTGAACGTGAAGGCTGAGCAGATGATCGACGAGGTCTGGGACTATGTATTCACAAGACGCGAGCTCAGCGACGAGCTGATCTCAAAGAGCGGAATTAGCAAGGAGGTTTTGCAGCAGATGCGCAGAGAATTCGAGTACTGGTACCCATTGGATGTCAGAGTTTCCGGAAAGGACCTCATCCAGAACCACTTGACCTTCTTCCTTTACATCCACGTTGCGCTCTTCCCACCGGAGTACTGGCCTCGCGGTGTCCGTGCAAATGGACACTTGCTTCTTAACGGTGAGAAGATGAGCAAGAGCACTGGTAACTTCCTTACACTGAAGGACAGTGTTGACAAATTCGGTGCTGATGCTACCCGTATTGCGTTCGCTGATGCTGGTGATGGTATCGAGGACGCTAACTTCGACGAGACTGTCGCTAACAGTAACATTCTGAGACTGCACACCCTTAAGGAATGGGTTGAGGAGATTTCCAAGGATGAGACTCTGCGCACTGGTCCCGCTGATGCTTTCTGGGATAAGATCTTCAACAACGAGATGAATGGTTTGGCTCGTGAGACCCAGAAGCACTATCAAGAGTAAGCTACAAGACATCATTTCCCTCCCCTTACACCCCATGATAAACAAGTATTAACATCATTATAGCACCAACTTTAAGCTCGCCCTGAAGTCTGGTCTATACGACTTGGTGAGTGCCCGTGATGCCTACCGTGAGGCCGCAACATCAGCCGGTGTTGGAATGCACCGTGATGTGGTCCTGCGCTACATCGAGCTGCAAGCCCTCATGCTGGCTGTCATTGCTCCTCACTGGGCCGAATACGTTTGGCTCGAAATCCTGAAGAAGGTTAGTGATTTTCGATACCATTGAAAGAACATAACACTAACATCACCTACGATACAGCCCGAATCTATTCACCACGCTCGTTTCCCCGAAGTTCCCGAGCAATCACCGGAGCTGACAGCCATCAGCACCTATGTCCGGGCCACTTCCTCTAGCATCACCTCTGCTGAGGCTCAGCTCGCCAAGAAGGCTTCCAAGGGCAAGAGCACTGGCTACGACCCCCGTCAGCCCAAGAAGCTCACAATCTACGCCGCCAAGAAGTACCCCTCGTGGCAGGAGAAGTACATCGATCTGGTTCGCGAGGCTTTCGATGGTCTCAACCTGTCCATCAACGACAAGGAGCTGAACGCTAAGGTCGGCAAGATGGGTGAGATGAAGAAGGCTATGCCTTTCGTCCAGACCCTGAAGAGACGCCTTATCCAGGGCCGTGAGGAGCCTGAGACCGTCTTCAGCCGGAAGCTGCCGTTCGATGAGTTCGCCGTCCTCAATGAGATGCTCGTCAACTTGCAGAAGACAACAGGCTGCAAGGAGATTGAGATCATTGCTGTTGATGAGGGTGGCAAGACCGGCGAGGTCATTGGCTCCGGTGAAAAGAGGGAGGGTCTCTCCGCCGAGAACGCTGTCCCTGGTCAACCCACCTTCCAGTTCACCAACATATCGAAGAGTAGCTGAAAGAGTTGATCATACATATTAGATCCACACGTGAAAGACCTATAAAGTAAAAAGAATATGAAGAATGCAATGGTTGTTATGACATCGTTTATAATCTCTGATCCACCCATGTAGTTTGCACTCTATCCAAATAATCACCACAAGTAATACCTCTCCATCTATCAAACACCCACAGATCATCAACCAGATCTCAACATCCCAATCAACCTACCCCCAGTAAAAGAACCTCGGCATCAGCCCAAGACACCCCAGAAATCAAAGAGTTAAGCCAAACGAAAAAGAGGAAACATACCTCCTCAGCCCCTCCCTCAAAACCTCCTCTTCATGCGCAAACACAACCCTAAACCACCCACCCTGCTTCCCATGCTCTTCACCCGGATGCAGAAACACTCCCGCATCCAGGAACTTCTGCGCCAGGGCATATTCGCGCTCGTGAACCGGACGATCAGGATAAGGGAGGTAGGGCGAGAGGTCGATATAGATGAAGAAACCTGCGTTTCTGGATGCTCTTAGCACCGCATATACAAATTTGCCATGGCGATGCAGGTTGGATAGGGGAAAGAAACAGAGAGAGGGAAAGAGAGATGGGTCTTACCCTCGTTTAACGTAATTGATGCCTTCTTGATTGAGTGTTGATGTGGCAATTCGGTATGTCGATGCTAGACTTTGGCGGGATTTCTCGATGAATTGGGCGATGAAATCCTGGTCTTCGAGGATTGTTGCTCCGATTGTTATGGAGGCTGTTGAGGCGTTGTGGAGTCTCCTTTGTGTATGTGTTATATATTAGATCGTGTGATGTGGATGGGGTATTTGGTGGGTGTTTGGAGTAGGGAACTGACAATATCGCTTTGCAAGCTTGACGCAGGGACGCGTTTTGCGTGACTAAGAAGCCGAGGTGGAGGCCTCCGGCTGCGAAGTCCTGGTTGTAATATTAGTTTGGGGTGGTGGGTAGTATTAGATTGGGTTGGTGGAGAAGAATGGCTTACCTTGCTGAATCCATAGAGCAAGTGAACGAGATCAGGGTCGATCAGGTCAGGTGTGCAGATGGATAAGACCGAGGTGAAAGGGACTGCGCTCGGGTCTCCCGAGTCAAAGACACAGGATGCATATACTTCATCGCTGATGAGGTGGAGTTTGTGTCTATTGCAGAACAGGAGGATTTCCTTGAGTGTTTCTGCTGGGTAGCAGCGCCCTGTTGCTAGTTAACACTCTGTACAGACAATAGATAACCTATCATGTTCAATCCCAGTGATAGTCTTCACAAATGATACTTACCTACAGGGTTATGTGGATTCACGATCAACACTGCTCGAATCTTGGTCCCATCCGCTTCTGCACGTTCAAGCGCTGCCTCGTACTTATCTACCACGGCAGGGGCAAATGCCTCCTCGGTATCCGTGTCTGCATATACGATCTGCACATCTGCTTCGACCCCGTAGTCGAGTTCAAAGCGTCCATAGACCGGTCGACTGACTAGGATACCGTCTGTGGGCTCGGCCAGTGTGAAGCTGAGCATGCTCCCAATGGCAGTGATGCCGCTGGCGACAATGACTGCTTCTGGCTCAATCGGTGAAAGTGGCTTCAGAATGTTGTTGAGGTGGGAGGCCACTGCATTTGGTAGACGGTTGGGAGTTGATGAACTAGAGCCATAGCCAACGGAGTCCTCGGTGAATGTGACCTGTGTGAGTGCGATTGAAGGTGAACTTGGGCATCCGGGGATATAGATGAGTAGTACTATTAGAGCTTAGGGGTATTAACCTTGTTGTTGATGTACTTTACTATCTCGGTCCTCATTGGGATCTATCTGACTGTTAGTGAATCCATGTAGATATAGAGCTTGTCAAGGAGTCAACCTACATGCTCTGCCATGCCAAATGAAATAAGCCCCGCGGGGTTAGTTTCCTTGTTGTATGTATGTGGAGGGGCATATCGCCAAGGAGTCTTTGGCAATTCTGCCTTTTTGGTGCCACGGGAGGAGAGCATTTAGTTCTAGGTATATCCAACAGGAACTGCATGTACTGTTTCTAATCAAATATGGAAGGACAGGTATTAATCAAATAATTGGATTTCTGCTGTAAGGACCTTGGGTGCTGTTAGTTATAGTTACAGATGATCTGCCATTATGTCAGCGGACGTTGAGCTAGGTTATTTAGGGTTTCGTGAAACAGATGATTTTCACTAAGAATTTCCCAATATATATATCGGAGTATTTAAGATAAAGTATCGTAAGAGCCATAACGAGAATGTAACAAGGTTAACTTAATTTCATTATGTTAGACAGAAATGCCAAAGTTAAAGCACCTCGATGCAAAACCCTCAGATAGTATCTTCTGACTACTTAAGGATATTCCATGAGTAAGAGATAGTCCAAAAATGCTACAACTTCACTCGAACCACAGATTCACAGGCATGGTCGTCCCTTGTGACTGAAATCCCTAGAATACAATGCTAGAACTCCAAAAGTGAGTTCTTCGTCCGGCGGGAAACGACAGGGCTAGAACTTACATTATCATAGCCTAATGCATGACACACAGTTAGCTCCTCTAGAATTGCACTGGCACAAGCTGCCGCTGCTGCCCCAGAATATCTTTGCCACGCTTTATTTTGTGGTTGTCTGCGTAATCACAAACACCTTTCACAACTATGCATGAGAGATACTTGCATACCCCCCGCGGCTTCCATCTCAAAAGCGAGGAAACTCCCCTTTTCTGCCATTGTATCACGGTGTTCTCCAGATTTCATAACAGAGCTCCCTGAAGCAAATGCGCCAAAATGAATGGCTGGCTGGTCTTCACTGAAACCACCTTGCAGTCGAGAGTGAGAAACAAGAAACTTCGAATCGCAGCCCAGCTCCACACATGAGGAGCTTATAGCATCTGAACCAAGTTGAAACCTGAAACAAGCACCCGTTTCACAATCTTGTTCACATCTGTTGATATGGTGGTAGTCTGGGTGAAAGGGTCTGTCCTCGCATGGCCCAGAGTAGATAGCTGCTGTCCTTCGGAGGTGATCACGGATCCGTTTCTCGAGCTTTACTCGCCTTACTTTTAATTTTGCGATAAATGCCCTAGTTTCCGCGTCTGGTATTGTCGTATTGTCTTCTGAGAATTGAATTACCCTGAACCCCTGTCGTCTCCCAAGACTACACTCAATAACACTTCCGGTGCCACAGATCCCAATGAGGAGAGCTACCTTGAGCTTTTGGAAGCATTCTGTGAGACCAGCTACCGCGCTGGCGGCACTGCCTTTCCCCATCTTGGGTAAGCGGGCTAGAACTACGTCGTGGCCGGCGATCCGACCCATGGTATAGTCTTCTAAGGTAGCATGCTGTGTCCAGCTACATCCTGAGTTACTTGTATCGTATATCCTATCGAAAACCGCAAGGACCGCAGCAGCTTCTAGCGGTATTTGGGCAAGGGCCCAACATATCTGGTAAAGTGACTATTTCTCCAAAAGTGAGCCTTGCAGACCTAGAAGCCCTTTCGGATAATGCTCAAGTACCTACCTTGCAATGATGATGTACGTCAGGCATCAGTGACTACCCAAATCCGTGATGGCAAACCCACGTTGACTGTGCATCTAATTAGCCAACCATAGTTTGGCGTACAGACAGACAGACATACATACATTAGATACCTGACGAATATAAGGATCTCACCATTTGACGGTTATATTCAACCTTGTCACCTACCTAACTTATATATATACCTATCAGCAATCTAAACAATATCTATATATCTCCTCTCAGATCAGAGCAGCATCAACGACATCTAATAGTGTCCAATAGACTCTATACCTTAACAATCCCGCCACCTATTCTCTCTTACCAAACTCATCCCTCAAACCCTAACCTCGCATACTGATGCCCCAACTTATCCATCGGCAGATTCCCAATCTGCGGAGTCTCACCAGGAGAGACCACCGTCTCATCCGCCCAGTCCTCACGATCTTCAAAAAACCCCACAAACCTCAAAACCCTAACCAGCAACCCGGGATCCTCGGGTGGTTTCTTCGTTCTAACAAACCAATCCAGGTTAGTAACCTCATAAACATGTCCATAAAACAGAGAGACAAAAAGAAAAAGAAAGAAGAGAAATAAAGTAAACCAAAACCTACCTCTCCACCCAAGCCCTCCACCCAGCAAACGTACTAACCTTCCCCACAGCATGCACGAGCAACAAATACGCAACTATAGCGCTCAGCTTCGTACAATGTCCGATAGCAATCAATGCACCCCCGAAGACAGCCTCAGCGTAGACGAAAGGTGAATTAACATTCTTAGAGAAGGACAAGCTGGGGCCCATTGTACCGAAGAGAAAGATTATGATGCGGGTGTAGAGAAAGCTATGGAGGGGCATGATGGCGTCGTAGTAATCGATTGGGTTTTGCGTGGTGTATGCTACGAGGATTTGGTACATGCGGAGGATGTTGCCGCCTTGGTAGGCTGGTCCTGTATTTTATCATTATTATTTATTCTTTTAGTTTCCTTTTTTGGCATTCTAGTCTTCGGTTGTGGAAAGGATGTTGGGAGGCTTACGTGTGTGTGGAGGATAGCCGTTTGGGAGTCGTTTGACTAGGCTGAAGGAGGTGAGGGATTGGATGTAGCAGGCTGTTACTGCTAGGATTGTACAGTTGAAGTTGCAATAATAGAGGCCTAGTTCGGTTATGCCGGCTAGGATGTGCCATGCTAGGTCTGGGTTTGTTAGTTCTGTGAAATGTCTTGGGGGGGGATATGGATATAGGTATGTGCAGAAGGAGAACTGGTACGTTTGTGGTATCCCCGGTATGATTTGCCCCGGTTGACGACAAAATATATAAAGAATATGATGTATAGACCAGTGATGACAACATCCGAGTCATTGGTGTGAATACGTGTGGTGGTTTGCATGGTATCTTTTTGAGGTTATTTGTCTCGTCTTGCCATAAATCGATCAACTCAATTGTAGACGAAGCAGTCGCTCAGAAATTACAGCGCCAGGCTTATTTATACCTTGCTAATACTAATATACCCCGCGTGGGTCTTGTGTGCTTGAATGTAACCTGATTTTCTAGTTCAGCTGAATAACTATCCCGATATCCCTGGTGGTTATAGTGCATATACTTTTGTACTTTGTACACAGGGCCACCTCTTCAGAAGCATTGTCTGATCCCTCTCCCTTATGTATAGCTACCAAATCAATTGATAGGGAGAAATATGCTATGCGAGATGAAATATTAATACTTATTACCATTACATTTGAACGTCATTCATGATCCTATATTAGTACTTTTTGATATAGGATCGTGTTGACAGGACCTCATTCTTCTGTACCGAGATTAGATTGACACGGTTTAGCGCCCGCCATTAATCCCGGGAAGGAAGAAAGCCAAAAGCGAGGATGCCCGATAGATGGCGCGCTAGTCTTCTTATGTGAGGTAACATCTTTGACGCTGTTCAACGCACTTTTACGTCATAGAAACAGGTGGATAACCGGGTGAATCATAACATTGAACCTGCAGTATGAAGTCGACGTTCCTTGCTAAATTGATATTCTCGTACTTTCCTTGCAAAATACCTGTCACGGGCGGAAGTCAAAATATAAGTGCTGCATGAGCCGCACACTGTAAACAGTGAGTGATAAGCATCAATGGAAAGGCAAATCTTTGGTTACTTGCAACGGAACACAGGGGTTGAAAAAGGCTGGTTGCGTAGGTTCCAAACCTAACGGCACTTCTTACTCCTGAGAAATATCAGTGATCCACGTAGGTATGACATAAAGCATCGCAGTCTGACTAGTATGATCAGTATATCTTTCCTGGTGGCAACCGAACAATAAGACATGCTACGCTCTTAGAACTACTCGGACTAATGAGTGACTTGACAGGGTCATAGGCGGATCGAGCAAGTAAGCAACCGGAGCTTGGTAGGAATCCAGGACCAATGAAATATATCAATCTGGGTGCTGTGTCACTCTAGATGCTCGAGACTAAGTGGTACTGTATGGACCACAGGAGTCCAGGCAACGCTTATAAGTTTTCTATCAAAAGATTGCAGGTACGTTCAATTCATCATTAATTTTGACTCATTTAGATAAACATACTCATCAAACCTGTAGCGTCCAAAGAGAAGTATGGGGTTCAGAGACACATCGCTCTCATCATAAGTACGATTAGGATTCTTAAAATAGTAATTATCCCTTACCACAGTCATAATGGTAATGCAATTTAAGCAGACACCGCGGCCTCGGTTGCCTTCTTAAGACGCTCGCCGAGGTCTGCATTAACCTTTGTGAAGAGTGCTACACAAATGTCAGTAAAAGGAACAGTTATATATAGGATAGATGTCCACATACCATAGACCGCATTGCGCAGCTGAGGAGAGCGGACGCCCTTGATATGGCCCGCCAGGTTCGCAATCGTTCTGTCCTGGTGGCCGGGCTCCCTGCCGATGACTTCCCAGAGAGCGGCGGGTTGGACGAAGTCATCATCCGTAATATGGCTCTGGAAGTTGGTCACTTCTCCCACCCATTTCTCGTGTTCGGTCAGTCCGCTCAGCCGGGCGGCTCCCGAGTTCTTCACCTCTTGGTAGAACTTGGTGGGTTGAAGGGATGAGCCAACGTAGTTGGGGTCGCCGCCGTAGTTGTCGTCGAACCGCATGGCGCCATCTCTCTGGTAAGGACAGTAGACAGGTGCCTTGGCTGCGTTGGTTGGGAGCTGCTGGTAGTTGACTCCAAGACGGTACCGGGCGGCATCGGGGTAGGCGAACATACGGGCTTGGAGCACTGATATAAAGGTTAGTTAAGAGGGACATGTTTTAGTGAAGAAATAACCTACTTGGATCAGCGGATGGTGCAATACCGGGCACCATTGTGGATGGGGAGAAGGCCGCCTGCTCAATATCGGCGAAGTAGTTCCTAGGCTATACATAGAACGAATTAGCATTGTGTACTTCAATCATTGCCTAAGCTGGGTGGAACTGTTGAGGCATACATTGCGGTTCATGGTCAACTTTCCGATTTGTCTCAGCGGGTAGTCTTTGTGAGACCAAACTTTGGTCATGTCAAAGATGTTCCAACGGTATTTCTCCGCGTCGGCCGGGTCCATAACTTGGACGTAGACGTTCCACACGGGGTAATCACCCTTTTCGATGGCCTCGTACATATCCCGAATGAGGTAATCGGGGTCTTCGCCTGCAATCTTGACAGATTCCTCGGCGGTCATGTTCTTGACACCCTGGGCGCTCTTGATGTGGATCTTGATATATTTAAATGATCCGTCCTGTTGACTCGCGTGTTAGTTACGTCGGTCATCTAGTAAGATGCAGAGAGCATTATTATGTTACCTCTTTAGTGAACTTGTAGGTATGTCCACTGTAGGCATTCATATTGCGGATAGACTTTGGTGTTCCACGGTCACTGAAGAGGTGAAGAAGTTCATGGATACCCTCGGGGTTACCGACGTGGAAGCTAAAGAGTATTAATAACACGAGTTGATGTGTGCTGAACAATCGTACTTACTCCCAGAACTATAGAAGCAGTCAATATCAGGACTGTATTATTTTATCACTCATAGAAAGGCAACCACGTGGGCTACTCACCATGTTTGCATCAGGAAGATGAGTCGTAGGGTGTCTCTTGTGCGAACGGTTCAGGGAAGGGAACTTAATCGGATCGCGAACGAAGAAGACCGGCTACAGCCAATTAGTTATGTTATAGACTTTATAATTGAAGAATACCGACCGTGTTATTGAAAACCCAGTCCAAGTTACCCTCATCCGTGTACGTCTTCATGGCCCATCCGTGAACATCGCGAGTGGTGTCGGCCGAACCGGCTTCAGGTCCAACCGTAGATACTCGAAGAAGAACGGGAGACTTCTTGCCAGCCTTGCTCAAGAAGCTAGCAGAAGTAATATCGGAGCAGTCGCTAGTGGCTTCGAACTCTCCATATGCGCTGTTTTTTGGGTGTATCAGTTTGGGCTGTTCATGTTGGTGTGCAATATATATAGTTGTATCACTTACCCCACCGCTTTGGCATGAACCACACTGAAAACACGTTAGTAGCTAGACGAGAAAGATAGCATTTGCTATACATGAATTGAAGGGATTCTTACCGCTCAGGGATTCTCTCACGAGAGAAATGGGCGAGAGTCTCAATGAGTTGCGTATCTTGGAGCAAAGAAAGCCCGCCACCAGAGTTGTTCCGCAGTTGAACGGTGGTGCTGTTGCTAGCAAAAGGGCAGCCTGCTTCAGTTAGTGGATCCGAGCCCTAGCTAGATCTAGATATTTAATTGGAGCATCACCTTCTGCCAGAGTATAGTAGCGTTCAGCCATATTGATGTTGGTATTTGCAATCAATGTGTCCAGGTACAGTAGTAAAGTAGAGTGGATTTATCCTTCTACAATGGCCAGAGGGAGGAGGGGTTGACAGAGCTATATAGCCTGGAATCTCCGTGGCATCCCACAGTCAACTACGCGATCTGGTAGTTGTTCCTGTTTCGGTTCGTTCATTGAAGGCTCTACCAATTACATTGACTAATATGCGTAAGTTTTCTGCGTTGTCCATGCAGAGGCTTCTGCAGTAGTCTCGATTCTGAGTACCACCACAGCAGGATGTTGATTCCACTCCCGAGTATCCCATTGGCGTTAATTGGCGATATATCTGCGAAGTCCGGTTGAAGATGGGGGGTGGTGCCGTCATTCGAAGCTCTGAGTTCGGTCGAATACCCACGGGAAACCCTAACTGCGGGTTGCTGCTGGGAAAATGAGTGATGCGCACAGGCATGCACACATTCTAGACTGGGGCTCCTTCGTGTTGCAATCAGAGAAGCCCCTCACTCATGAGCAGCATTCCTAATCCTGCGTGTCTCATTGGAACCTTTTTTAGTTCTGTCAGGTTGACTAGTTGTGGTTGAGATGGAGATACAGTTGGGAGGGTCCGACCTTACCGGATGCAGTAGTACTACTGACCCAATCAATTCTATGTCACTTGGCGTCTCTGGTACATGACGTCCTGCACTTCCATACCGATTGTAAATGCTTCCCTAAGTTATGACGGTCGCTTTTATAAGCATTAAGTGTCCTGTGGCTCTGGATGTACTTTTATTGTCAACACCGCTTTGAGCACCCGAAGAGCAAGTGCTACATATACTTGAAAGTATTCTTGAAAGGAACAAAGATATATTTAATCCTACCATCTTGTTTGACATAACAGAACCCACCATGTCTGAAGGTCGGTTAAGCCTTGCCAAGCCTGACTTTTCTCCCAAACTGATGGCCCGCAGAATCGCATCCACAACAGCACCACCACCAGAGCTTCTTCGATCGGATACTCCACCCGGGACGTCACGAAGACCAGGAACAACACCAGGGCCAGCATGAGTCTCAGGACCATGAGTCCCACAAAAAGGAGAGTGAATTAGACAAAATCAAGGATGACATCAAGGAAGATCAGGAAGAAGTAGCAGAGGGCGATACCTACGCAGGCTTGATGTGAATGCTTTACGACTAGCACCAGTTTGTGTTATTTTAACAAAGGATGGGATCACTGTCACTAGACAAGGGAGTTTATATGTTATTGGTAATGAGTTAAATAAGGATGTTGGATCATGAGGAAATATCCAAGGATAATATGAATGATTTGAAGAGGAGACATCTATAATCTATGATCAGAAATAATAGTACAGTGGTGGATCTTTCCCCCACCATGAATGCCCGGTCAAAACACCAATCGCTATGCTATATGCTGTACAGATGTTGAAAGGAATCTAGAAAGAAACCATAACAGTAACCCCAGAAGAGCCGTAAACTTTGCTGTACGGCTGATCAGACTTTAGATGTATGATGGGCACGCTTCTTCTGCCCGATGCTTTGTCGCCCTCGTGCCCCCTTCTTACGTTTCTCCACAGCCTGTTTCTCTGCAATGTACTTCCAGCATTCAATGGGACGTCGCACTGCAACATGTCGTCCGCTCGGAGTAAATATCTCAACCTGCGGTAACGGCCTGGCAGACTCGCCGTCAGTGGATTTGGCACGGATCTGAGCCGTGAGCTCGACCCAACCGCATCCCTCAATGAGTATATCTGTCGACATCACTTTGTATGGCAGGGGAGGGGGTTTTATTCCCTTATCTTCTACTGCCTTTGCGATCGTCGTTGGTAAGTGCGACTGGGTCACGTCCCACTTAAGGTCAAAGACTCCCGCGGAAGTGATTCGGTTGCCAATGCCTTCTATCATGATATTCTCTCCAGGATAAAGACGCTGCTCGGCCTGCATTTCAACACCCTTTTCGGTTTTGGTGACATGGGCCTCGATCGGGATAAAGCAGGCTGCCATTAGTACATCGTCAGGGTTCACCGACGTGATTCGTACAAGGCCTCCACCTAGAAGCAGCGATTGGCCTGACTTTATAGTATACCGTTCTGGTTTTCTCCGTTTAGTCATGATCATGTCTCGTTTGTATTCGTCACGGACGTAGTCTGCTAGGTCGCCCCGATCCATCCCGGGCAAATCGATCATTTCCCCTGTACCACGGCCGAAGGGTATGCGAATCGGCGAAACAGTAGTCCCTGGCAGTGACGAAACAACCGGCAGTACAGGATAAAGGTCTTCCCGGGGGGCAGGTGGTAGAAGGCTGTTGGAGTCAAGCGCAGTGGCATCGCGTGGGCTGATATCCGACTCTGCTTGGCGACGCTCAACCAGTTCAGCAATTTTCTCCAGGTTCTTAGAATCTTTGGGAAAGCAAGCTTCAATGAAACTACTCTTCCCGACATTAGCTTTGCCCACTACCCAGATACCGCCCCCGTGGTTCTTGATTTCCTCCTTGACTTTTTTGGTCCACCAGCCTCGGTGAGCGCTTATCATATGCACATTTCCCAGACGGAAATCCTCCGTCGACTTAGCAAGTATCTCTCGGAGGATCGAGCGAACATATTCCATCTTCGAGTCCACTTGTTCCTTGGTAGGAGCTAACAGATCGGAGCGCGTTATGATGAAGCTGATAGTAGGCAATTTCTTTCCTCCTCGATATTTCTCAGTGGCAGCTCGCCGGTTGCGCGACCGCTGTTCTTCGATGGAAAGTGCCTCGTATATATTGTCGACAAGAGACATGGGGAAATCTGCGGCGTCAATTACGTGGTAGATCCGGTTATATTTGTATGGTGACTCATCCAGGTACGCCCCAATGGAGTATATCGTAGGTGAGATTGCAGGAATCGCTTTGTTATGGTGTATGAGATCGTGGCACCTATCGCAAACTTGCACAGGGGGTCGAGACTTTTCAATGTACTCTTTAGCAGTGGCTGTAGCATTCTCAAGTAAAGCGCCATCTAGCAGTATTGTTAGTATCATTCCCTAAGGGAACAGAATAAACACCACCTACGGACAGGTTTAGGAGCGGCCGTTTCTTCCTCCGACTCCTTGATCAGTTGCTGAATTGTGCCCGCAGCCTTTTCTCCTTCTGTTCTCAGATCCGTCACCTCCCCGGTTTCTCCATCTTGTACGCCAGATGTTTGCTCTGTCTCAGACAAGAGCCTCCGTGTTTGCTTCCTGGTTTTGCTGTAGTATCCTGGGTCGTCGGGCTCAACGGTTTGCGCGTATGCACCACATCCCGGACAGCAGACTGGTAGAACGCGGTCAGTAAGCTCTGAAGATTTCGCACGCAATGATGGGCCCGAAGATAGAAGGCGTCGCTGCGATTCGTTGATTAGGCCGTTTGCATTTCGAACGGGCAGCACCTCTGGCCGCAGAAAGAAGCTCCGTGAGGACTGCGCTCCGGTGAGTCGGTATAACTGGCGCGGAGAGCGGGAAACGATATATTTTAATCGAGGTGCTCTTTGAATTATGCGCCCGAGATAAAGCGACATGACGGTAAAAATTTTCCACGCTGGGAGGGTCGGAGATGATATGCGACAGAGATTAACGCTTGAGTTGATAGCGTTGATAGCGGCGGTGACCCGCTCCGATTTCCGTATAAATCAAGTCCCGTGGCAAACCATGGAAATTCTACGAACAATAATATAAAATCCTATAGAAATGAATGTTACGGTTGAAGAAAACATCATCGCAGTTGTATTTGAATTATTTAAAAGTAACAAACTATCCATATCCTATAAACACCCTTAGGGTTTTAGACGCTGCAACAAGAAAAAGAAAACATTAAGAGAAGAACATTCTGCGCATTTACGCCATCGCCTTGCCTTTCCCTTCAGCCTCATCATTTTGGTCGTTTTCCTCTTCCTCAGAATCGCTCATAAACTCGTCGTCATCATCAAATCCAATGAACTTCCGCGGGGCTGCAGACTTGGGAGCCGGCTCTGACGGGCCCGGCGCATCCTTCATCTCCTGCTCGTCTTCGCTCTCTTCATCCGAAGCTGAAGCAGAATCCTGTCCACTTCCCTCACTAGCACTTGTACTCGACCCGCCCAAGATGTTATCACGTATAGCATCATGGAGATTGTCCGTCCACATGCCATCCTTCATCGCCGCAAGAACAGCCTCCCTGGCCTTCTCGTTCATCTCCTCTTTATCTTCCATCCACTGACCATCAATCTTCTGCTTGCCGCCGCCATTCTTCAGTTCCTCCTCGCGTTTCTCCGCGGCCTCCACAACGGCCTGCCACCTCTGTCGGCGCTCCTCCTTCTCCTTACGGTCCATCTCCGGCTTGACTGCGAGATACTCGGCGAGCGCTTTAGCTTCATTGACGGTACGGATACGGCGACCATCGAGATTGCGACTGGAGCCGTTATCGTCGCCCTGGTTGCGCTTTCTCTTGCTTGACATGCGCCCACCAGCTGCACGAAGCTGGGAACCAAAACCACCCTTTCCTCCGCATAGGGGCACCGAAAGGCGGAGGGGAAGGAGGTTTGATGTCGCAGTGGGTTCGCCATTAGGAGCAATGAGATGTGAGATTGGAAGGTCTGTCGAAGGGAGAACTTGTTTGTTATTTGTCGTGGTTAAGATGAGTGACTGGAGGGGTACGGATGACGGAATATATGAGGAAACCTTCTCGGTGAGATTTGAGATAGACGAGGTCGATGGGAGGGAGAATGAGAGGGTTGAGGGTAGAGAGAGACCGGGAAATGTTGAAAGGAGGACGTTCACGTTTTGCGGAGCCATCTTTGCGAGGTTTAAGCGTTCCGACCACTAAATAATTCGTTGTGGGTATCAAAGTAGAATAAGAGGTCGCAAAGTTGCGACTGCGGTCTGCTGTGATGTACCTTGAAAGTGACGAGAGGCGACAAATGAGGTGGAGTTGATAAGGAACCCTTCGGGGGACGGAGGAAGATTGCGTCGAGGCCTCAGGCAGTACATCTCTCACACCTCAATCACATGGCGATAATGGCGGATGTGACTAAGCCATGCTGATTAGGGTGCCAACCCTAGCTTGCGCTTCCGAAAGAGGAATCACGCACTTTCAACTTAACCGCCAGTCGCTCCACTCGATCCCATCCATCATTTAAACCAACCACCACCCTCTTCGCGTTGTTAGAGCGATTCCCCGAAGAGCGCCAGGAACTCGCAACAATGTAAGTTTACAGGTCAATGTTCATAAATGATAAGCAATGCAAAGCTAATAACTCTTCAGGCTTATCCCTAAGGACGACCGCAAGAAGATCCACGAGTACCTCTTCCGCGGTATGTAAACGACGCCTCCAGTCCCCTGTCGCATTGGCCGGTCCAATCCACCTCGCTCTTTGAAGACCACTGTCGCTGACTGATTCCCTGAACAGAGGGTGTGCTCGTGGCCAAGAAGGACTTCGAGTCCAAGCATGCCGACATTGACACCAAGAACCTCTACGTGATCAAGGCCCTCCAGTCCCTCAACTCCCGCGGCTTTGTCAAGACCCAGTTCTCCTGGCAGTACTACTACTACACCCTCACCCCCGAGGTATGTTTGCGACTGTTCAATTGCTAGCCTGGGTAATGAGGAAGGGTTGTCTAACTTGTTGCTTTCTAGGGTCTTGACTACCTCCGTGAGTGGCTCCACCTCCCCGCTGAGGTTGTCCCTGCCACCCACATCAAGCAGCAGCGTTCCCACGCTCCCCCTCGCGGTATGATGGGTGGTGAGGAGCGTGAGCGCCGTCCCCGTCCTACCCGTGAGGGTGGCTACCGTCGCCGCGACCAGGAGAAGGAGGGTGGTGCTCCCGGCGAGTTCGCCCCTAACTTCCGTGGTGGATTCGGCCGTGGCCGTGGTGCTCCCTCTTCTTAAGGGATGTCTTCCGGTCCTCCTAGGGTTTGGATGGTAGCGTGAGTGGCTTGAGTAGACTTTGGAATAAGTACGAAAAGGCTGCTGCGCCCATCCTGAAAAAAAAAATTATGCATTGGTGCTGTATCGATGTAACGGCATAGCTAGAATCAATGTCATGATTTTAATGACTAAACATTTCATTTCATTTCGCGTAGTACGTTCAAATCATAGGTTATAATGACATGCATAAAACAGCTCTCACGCTTCAGCCCTGGCTCACGGCATATTCTTGCAAATATGTTTTAAGACCATGTAAAGAAAGCATTACTGTCGATAGTCTTCACGTGAAAGAGCAAAAGGTCTTATCTACGACGAGAATCTCTTCCGGTCATACCGGACCACAGCTTGCAAAATGACAGACGCACCTGTGACACAGTCTTCTGCAGAGCAGAATTCTTCCGGATGATGGCTCAGTCCATCCTTACAGGGCACGAATATCATACTGGTGGGAACCCTCTTCGAAGTGAAGACACTATCATGTCCCGCGCCGCTCATAATTGTCCTCACAAGGGATTTAGGCTCTGGCGCATCGGCGACAACAGCTTCTGCAGATTGCTGCACGCAGTCGATACAATCCGGGTGGAACTTAATTGCTGGAGAATCGAATTCTACAGTCCATTCAACCCGACAAGGCTTACCAATGCCCTTGCCTTCTTCCGCGGCAATGGTGTCGAACTCCTTTCTCAATTTCTCCTCAACAGTTGCAACCAATTCAGTTTCAGGACCGCGAATATCGAGGGAGAAGCTGACAAGACCGGGCACGGTATTGACACTACCAGGTTTCGCCTCGATGATGCCAACACTGGCTAAACAACCGTGGGAAGAAGCAACTTCCCGGGCACGCACCATCATTTGAGCGAAGGCGTACAGCGCATCTGCGCGATGTTGAAAAGCCGTGGTGCCAGTATGGGTGTCTCTACCCGTCACATTGACTCGATACCAGCGGTAGGCCTGGACAGCAGTAACAACACCGACGCGTTGACCTGCCGAAATCAGGTGAGGCCCCTGTTCAATATGAAGCTCGAAATGAGCTGCCATAGGGGTCGCTTTATATGAACAAGGAACATCTCCTAAATAGCCGATCTTCTCGAGTGCCGATTTCAACGACTCTGGGGCAGAAGATGCAGTGGGGAGCGAGGCCACCGTTGGCACCTCTATGAGCCCATGTGCCCGTGAAAGAGGTATAGAACCTGCCCATACCCCAGAAGAGACCATACTGATGGGGAAACGGGCTCCCTCTTCGCTATTGGGGCATTAACGTAAGCGCTAGGAATTATTTCGGTTTGACCCGGGGAGCTCTTACTTCGTCCAGTTTACAACGCCTACACCTCCTTCTGTCTCCAGGCCCATCTCATCGATGACTTTCAAAGCTTCAATACCTGAGAGAACACCCAGAATCCCATCGTAACGACCACCTGTTGGCTGCGTGTCCAAATGGCTGCCAATGAATGTCGCGGGCACGTCCTTTCTCCGTCCGGGACGCACAGCGAAGATATTGCCCATTTCATCAATCGTGATTTCGCATTTTAATGCTTTGGTTGATTCAATGAACCAGTCTCGTACAGATTTGTCTTCTTCAGACAACGTCAGGCGCTGCATTCCTGTATCCGTCGGTCCACTAGGTTAGGAGTCAGCCTACTGAAACCAGAGATATGCTTATGACGACGTGGGGATACGAATGCGGGATTGAAGGGGAGCAACAGGGTCCAGTTATGCTTTGACTATGTCTAATGGTTCGTAAAGGAACCTTCTCGATGCCAATGTAACTCAAGATGCCAGAAACTGATGATACTTACTCTCCCCAACGTATACCAAACCCCCATTGGCAACTGTGATGAAGGTCTTTCGCAAGACGGTCCTTGTTAGCCCTAAGCGCCGAAACGTCGGCCTCGGACAGCTCTGTCGTTAACATGGCTTGTTTTAGGGAGACGGAGAAGGCCCGACGTGGTTGGGTCAGTACCGTCCTTGTGAACGGCAATACTTTCGACTTGGTCGGTAATCTCTTAAGTGATACCGTAGCGAATTTAGAAAAAAAGAAAGACGCCATGCTGCCCTTTGATATATACACAAAGAGGGGTTGGAAGAGATGCAAATGTTGACTATTGGAGGTGGACAGATAAGGCAACTTTGGGGAGACGTGATAAGATACTTTGCGGGGCTAATCTTTCTTCGGCGATCTCATCAAATTGGAGGCCAATTAATTTCGAATTGTTAGTTATGATAACCTGCAAGGATCGGGCTTTTGTTGCTTCTCCAATTCGGCTGTTGGGGTAGAACGCCGAAGCGTCAGTCACGCTTGCACGTATACCTATATTGAGAAGCTAGTAGCGGACAAATGTCCGCACATAGATGCCCCTACTCCAACATGGTCCAAAGCTCGTATGACCCATCAGAGGGTTAGTGTCGACTAAAATTTTGGGACTTTATAATGCAGATAAGAGGTGGTCTTCAGATAGATCTACAGCAACTTGGTATGCAGTCGACAAACCCAGCACGTGGAAGATTATGTCATGCCTGTTATGGACACGAGTTTTGGTAGAGATGACCCACGCACCAAGGTTGAGACCAGACCCATTACCGCCGTAAATGAGCTAGAAAAAGAAAGTTTGTAATGGAGAAGATGATAATTATCTTGACGGCAAAAAAATAAAATAATAAAAATCGACAACTGTGTCGATGGGAAGGTCCAAAGATTCAATAGAGGAGTATTGTGGGCAAACCACGGCCATCTCTGGTAAAAGGCAAGAAATGGGTTCTGAACTAGCTTGTCCCACTCCTCATCTCTCTCTCCTTTAGAGTGATAATTATCCACCTTTCAAACTGCCAAGACGGCGTTGGTTCGAAACCCCCCACTGCCACCGAACCTCTCGTTTTTCCTTTTCATTTCATTCTTTCCTACCATACGGGAATATTCCCCCGTTGCGTTCCGCCTCCAAATAACAACCCCGCATCAGCAAGCATACACTTTTCTTCGGTTTTGGAATTCCATTTCTCAGTGTATCCTTACTATATACCTCATCACATAATACAAAGCACTACTATACCAACATGTCTTCTGCCACCTGTCTCTTCTGCAAGATCATCAAGGGTAATGATTATCCAATGCCATTTTAGAGTTTCTACATTCTATAGCAGTTGTTTTGCCCCAGCTTCGTCATGGGTGAAGCTCCTCAAGCAATAATGACGGAACGTTTCTAACATTCACACGAACCACAACAGGTGATATCCCTTCCTTCAAGCTCTTCGAGAGCGACAAGGTCTTTGCTTTCCTTGACATCCAGCCTCTGAGCCGTGGCCATGCGGTAAGTGTTGAACTCCCTTGACTGTTGTCTGTTATTTTATCCCCGCACGGCAATCCTAATTCCCAGCACCCTTCTATCGAAGGGAAGATGCTCACCTTTTATAATTTCACACAACAACCGCCTTCAGATCATATGTATTCCTCCTACTTAAGCAAACAGTAACGCTAATAAACGAATATTAGCTCGTGATCCCTAAGTTCCACGGCGAAAAACTCACCGATATCCCCGACGAGTACCTCAACGAGGTCTTGGTATGTAACCACCCACCCCCGGACCAGGCTCGCCTTAAATAAGGACCCAGCACCTGAGGACCTTGCGAGAAGAGCAGTCCACGGGGACCCAATCTTCCCCGCAGCTTCAGGCCTCTCACAAGCCGAACAAGCTAACCGCGCATGGTTTCCATTGAATAGCCCGTCGCAAAGAAGCTCGCGCAAGCTGCCGACGCAAAGGACTTTAACGTCCTCCAGAACAACGGCTCGATCGCCCACCAGGTCGTTCCACATGTATGTTCAAACCCTTCCTCCTCCTCTGATGGGGCTAAATGCTACTGATTTTGTGGATGCTTGGCTGACTCGTTATTAGGTTCATTTCCATATGGTACGTTAGCTTGGTTCTTTTTTCTGGGTTGACAGGAACCACTTTTCTTAGTTTTGATTCTGAAACGGCCCTCCGCTCCGGTATCTATTTTATGGAATCGATGCTAATTTAATTCGTTGTAGATCCCCAAGCCCAATGAGAAGGAGGGTCTCGGTGTCGGCTGGCCCGCCAAGGAGACGGACATGGACAAGCTCAAGGCTCTCCACGAGGAACTCAAGTCCAAGATTTAGATGCCACAATGACTGTGTATAATCCGTACCGTGTCACTAAACCTGATTTGAAAGCGTCGGGTGGGATTTGTATCACGTATCTCCAGGTGACACCGCATCTGATATATATCCTTGGTCAATAAAAGATTACATTAACTTTTCGTGTAAGCCACGGCTGGCTTAGTCTGGTGTAACCCGTGCAGAAAGGAGAGCAAAAATGTTGTTCTTTGAGCTGTGGCAACTAAGCGGGTCCTTTCGTTCTGGAGCGGGCAACCCTTAGGTTCGGATTCGATTTCATCTGATAAATGGACGGTTTCATTGAGGTGCTCCTTTGGCAGGTATTACTGCGTCTAAATATAGTGTCATGAGCTTGTCTCAATTTTGGTAAATTGTAAGATCATTGCTTCATGCGGCAGTTTCTCCGAAGATATCTGCAGCTTTAGTCTTGGGCTGGACATAGAGCATAGGTATAGTTGACATAACCGGTCCATCAGGTCAGCTATATTACACTTTGTATACTAGAACGAAGAAAATATCTACTGATTCCGACAGACGGTTATTGTATAAACAAAATTCCATTATATACAAGATACATGTATGATCTGAATACCTAGATGTCGTTCTATCAATGAACTCCAAACACCTGGAAACCCCGATCTAGTTGGATGTGCCGTTCGTGGCACCGTTCGTGGCAGTTCCGTTCGTAGCAGTTCCGTTCACTTTGGCCTCAGCCGGATAGAAATCGATCTTTCCACCGCCCTGAAGAATGTTCAGTCTGTCGTACAGCGAGGTAGCGCGAATGTACGGGTCGAGCTGCCAATATTGAACCCTCAATCGCTCAATGAGAGCCTGTCTCTTCTCCACTGCTGCCTTGATGGTTTCCTGGTCCTTCTTCCTGCTGACCGTGATCCACTCGATCGTGGCATCCTGGAGGTCTTGAGCAAGTTGTTGCCTTTCCTTAACCAACTCATCTCGCTTGGCCGTATCTTCCATCGTCTTATTTTCATCAGCATTGGGCTCCACATAGCTGTATTCCCAGTCCTCATCGCCCTCAAGCTCCTTATAAATGCGATCCCTGGGGATGAATTTCTCAAGGTCTGAGACATTCTTGGTAAAGTTGATCTTGGATGCAACCACGGGATCAAGCCAGCCCTTAATGATGTTCCAAATTCCTATACGGCATATGTTAAATTGTAGCTCGTTGATTATGCAGACGAGGATACGAACCGGAGAAGATCCAAGGGGCTTTGTGGATGAGCACAACTCCCAGGCATTCGGGATAATTAGCCTCGAAGCACTTGATCATGAATTTAACTGGATGATAGTCCTAGTGAATATTTAGAAAATGTTCGTATGTTGACCAGAAAAGGGATAAATACCATGTTTGCTAAAGAGAAGTTGGTCATGTCGAAGACCACACACTACCACATGTTAGGTGTTTGTATTCGGCTCATGCAGTAATAGGAAACTTACAGCTGTTTCAACTGGAGGCGAGAGCATCATCCGGGCAGATTCAATGGTGTACACCGTAAACCGATCCAGAGTATCCGTGCTCTGATCGGCCGGCTTGTGCAAGCGCACTCTGATAACGCAAATAGGCCGTCCATCTTTGTCAACACCGTGGATGTAACCCTTGCCCATGCGCATCTGCTTGAGGAACTCTTCGCCCTTCCTCTTCTCCTCAGGGTCCGAACTCTTCGATTGCTCTAGGGCAGCCAGTTCGCCATTCTTAACAATATCATCGTCGACTTTCACATCCTGCAATCTCCATCTGATTGTGGAGACCAACATGATGAGTGCTTTCTTGATATCCCACTTGCGCGCCCGAAGGAAGCGCAGGAGCAAGGAGTCGGGGTTATCTTGCTTAACCATGTTCCACAGTGTAACCCGAATCTCCTCAGGCTTCATGTCGGTAATTGCTTGCTGGAATTCCTTGGACTGTCCATATTTGTCATCTCCATCGGTAATGTTGATGGAAGCAATGCTATTTGTAACACCATTTGTTGTGGTGTCCTCCTCCTCGTCATTGCTCTTTCCACCAAAGAAGGTGAACCTCCGCTTTGGTGGCGCTTTCTTCTGGGACGACGGGCTTGGGGGCGTGGCGACATCGCCATTCGATTCAAGCCCTTCCACGTTGACGCCGCATACCTTCAGCAGCAGGACCCAAAACTCCTGCAGTTTGACTTCCTGCTCTGGGGTGAGGTTGCCCACGGTTCCGGGAGCAGCTTGGATAGGCATTGTTTTGAGGGTATCTATTACACCGAGAAAGGGAGGCCTGTCTTGATCAAATTCCGGAGTGTCCGAAATGAGGTGGGATTCGTTTCCGGGATGACGGTATTTATCCTGCAGCCAGGTCGCTCCACAAACAATAGCGAATGTGAATGTGATCGCCCAAAAAGATGAAGCCTTCCTCGGCCCGTTTGGAGGTGATACAGGTAAAGTGGAGAAGGGGTGTTTGGGTGGATTCGACGCAATTAAAAAGCACGAACTTATACCCAGGTGTTTCGGGAAGATCTGTGCACTGGCAGAGTAAGATGAGACAGATTGGACGGATCTGGCCGAGGAAAGTAAGAGACGGCGGCGCAAGAACCAACCAGTATGCATGTGCTATGAGCAAATGATAGGATAACGACGACTTCTGGCGTTCCCCTCTTGCGTTATTTCAAATGAGACAGACGAAGATCCAACCCCTGAAAAGTTTGATTGAACCGGGGGTATGCGGGGAATCCACAAAATAAAAAATAAAAAAAAGAGGAGGCAAAAGGGAGTTCGGAGAGAGACTAAAGAAAGGGTCGCCTGAGGGTCTTCCCCCCTGAGCCACCGGCCAGCCACTAAATTTAGGGCCTGGCCGCCTGAGGCAACTGCCGTCGGTCATTCGGCTCCAGCGCAAAAGCGGGGGATCAACAGACGGCGTCAACAAAACAAAATCCAATCTAACATCCACACTCCTTCCAATTATCGGTGCCACAATATTAATTGGTCACGTTTCCCCCCAGATTTCCAGATTTGAGGCACTTTCGCACTCCTTACCCAATTCGTCCTACCACATCTTGCGTCACTTCCCCATTGTACCTCGGAATTTTTCTCTTACGGCCATGGACTCTACTGCTTTTGCCCGATCGACTTCGCGTCCAAGACCTTCATCCAGGCCCACGACCCCTCTACGACCCAGCTCTCGGTCTTCATTACGTGAGGCACATGGCTATGGAGGAAGCATCAGCAATGCAGGCTACACCCAACCTGCGATCAATGCCCTCGAACCACAGTTTGCAGAGCTCGCAGACTCCATGGCCGATCTTGAGGCCAATTTTATGCACCTCCAGTTGATGCACGAGAGCCTTACGCGCTTTAGCGAGAGCTTTGCCAGTTTTCTCTATGGCTTAAACATGAACGCCTTTTGTGTAGATTTTCCAGAGGTATGGCTACGCGATACCAAGCATCCTACCATATTAATTGACGGGCGCAGGCTCCGATCGCCGAATCATTCAAAAGAGCCAAACAGGCGGAGGCTCAGAAAGGTATGAATGTCGCACTACATCTGACGGAAATGTATGGCACTAACACTCTCCAAGAAGCTGAAGTGGAGCAAATTCGACCGACTAATGAAGGCGAAACGACGTTCATGTGGGTCATTGATTGTTTCTCATAACTACATGCTATATTTGATGGGGTTTGCTGACCATAATGTCAAATTCCAGGACTACTGACACGTCTTTCGTTGAAAATCCTTCAAGTACAATCTCCCCCAAACCGGTACGCAAAACTCCTACTTCGTCGCGGGGAACCACAAGAGGGTCTAGCACTCGTGGTCGTTATACAACCAGAGGCACTAGAGCTCGTCCAAGCGCGCTGCCAAGGGGCAGAGGGCTGCGGTGAATATCATGATGAAAATTTCATGATCCTTCTCAATGGACCGACTCGTATTTGTACGAACATGGCCTGTCGATTCCTTTGCTCGTACAACGGGTATCTATCGCTAGCCAGCATACCATCGGCATTCCATGGTGAAAACCTACCAAAACTCACGCAGCGCGATGGGTTAAGGGAGTGGTTGATCCATGCTAGAGAGTCCAATCGGGACTTCCCCATGGAAGACATTCTATTCTAGCCACCATGCCTTGATTTCCGAGCGGCCGAACTAGTTGGCCCTACGAGGATTCCTCCGTGTAAGGACTGAAAACCTCGAGCAACCTCCGGATTTCAGCAGGTCCTTTGTACCTAGTACTGCCGTCTTAGTTCAGTACATTCAAGTGTAGGTATTCATATCATGTGTCAACGTGAACCAGACTAGGAGTTCTTGCCGGAGTGACTATCGAGTCTCTGGCCGCTTCTACATTAGGGATAAAATCACAGACGATCGTAAATCAGTAGTTTCTATGTTCTTTTTTAAGGTGACGGTGATGGGGACTACATGTTGAGAACTATCATATCAATACGTACCGTATTTCTCGGATCAAATGCAATCCCGGTTTCTTATCGCTCGGAAGTCGTAACCCTTGCGGCAAAAAAAAGATCTTTCAATCTGCCATGGCCTCTGCTTTAGTCGCCAGTGCCAATCGCCATTCCGAGATCTCAGCGCAACTATTCCCTAGACTCGTACTCGGGCTGATTGATATCAGATATATATAATATATCGTTTGTTCGGGGCCTCTTGATTAGCCTAGAGACAGAAACCCGGTGTTACGGAGTTAAGGGACCTTACTTATCTGGGGTAGCGTTCGGGACGGAGCCGACGGCGGAACACAGAAAGTGGCCGCGCAGACCATTTGCGGTCACCACATCCAATCCAGACATTCTCTAATCGCTGCAGTTCAAGGTCTTTCTTTGTTGGGAGCAGGCCTCCGAGAACCATGATGCTGATGTGATACAGCCAAGGTACTTGACGGCGTTTCAATCCATGGATTTCCATTGTGTCTGCAGGTGAACCCAACGTCACTCTCTTCCATCTATGCGAAGGATCCCTTGGCACCCACTGTGATATATCTACAATCGTTCTTCGGTGTCGCGGGCGTATCCTTGGCCGCACAGCTCTTTTAATACTCCTGCTACAACATATAATCCCCTTAACCCCACTTCGCAATGGCTAGCGTAGCTTGTGTGTCTCTCCTCTCCGAAGCGGAGTTTGGTTGCGGTATGCGCTCACCCTGGAAGCTCCTAGAACTTGTCTTTAATGCTAACTTGTCTGGAAGAGCATCTTACGGCGCAGCTTTCCCAGGACGGAGGTGCGGGTGACCAGTTTAAAGCATCATTCATCAAGACACATAATGCTTTAGCTCCTCGCTCCAAATCTGGGGAGTCGGCTACTACCCAGAAAGGCCTACGCACAACCAGCTTTCTAAAACCAAAGTACATGTGCCTGACCTGCTCCGACTCATTCATGAATGGTGACCGAAAGGCCCATACAGAAAGGACTGGCCATCAATTCTGTGAGTAGGTCAAACTTGTGACCAGAGCCCATTGGCTGACCGTTACCTCAGACATGGAATCAAGAAGTCGCACGCTATTCTGCCAGGGGTGTGGAGACTTCGTTTATGATAACGGCCTGGAAAGACTGAGATCATCAACGCCAGAAAGCACGCTAAAACGTATGCATGCCATCCTGCCCTTGAGATCTCACCCATAGCTAAATTCTATCTAGTTGCTCAAAAACGTCGATTTAGCGAAAGCTCGACGGACGAGCTATACGTCAGGAGCAATGCAAACAAGCGCTCTTGTGCAAAGCAAGGTGTCAGAGGGCTGTTCAACCTTGGACAAACATGCTATTTGAATGTTATTCTCCAGACACTCCTTCATGACCCCATCCTCAACACTTACTTTCTAGGAAGCGGGCATCAATCCCACGACTGCACTAATTCTGATTGTATAGCGTGTGCTGTTGCAGAAGCATTTGCGGACTTCAATAGCAGTGATAAGGCAGAAGGGTTTGCAGCCCTGAACCTCCTTTTGGCCTCTTGGCGTGCAAGCTCTGTACGTCATCGTCCTTTTAAATGCTATATGGATATCAACTAATCGACTCTGGCAGGCCTTAGCGGGATATCAGCAACAAGATGCCCATGAATACTACCAGTTTCTTGTCGACAAACTACACTCTAGCACTGACGGACACCACGAGAACCACGAAAAAGGCTGCCCTTGCTTTTTCCACAAGACATTTTACGGCAAGCTCCGAAGTAGTGTAACATGTGACAAGTGTGGAAATGTCACTCGTACGGACGATCCCATGGTGGATCTAAGTTTGGATGTCCAAGTGCAGGCGAAGAAGCGCGCCATGGGTGGTGCTGGGGCCTCGTCCACGCCCACGCTGAGCGGATGTTTGGAAAGCTTCACATCCCCTGAAAAACTTATGGCAGGCGTCTACAACTGCAGCGGCTGTGGGGGAAACGCTCAAAAGGCGACGAAGCAACTACGTATTAAGAAATTGCCGGCAATTCTATGTATGCAACTAAAGGTAAGTCACTACATCGAGCCTCTCACCAAACTCTTAACTGATTTTATTGAAGCGCTATGAACATACATTCTCGGTCTCCGAGAAGCTAGAAGGCCGCATAGACTTCCCACTGTCTATCAACATGCTCCCGTACACGACCAACCCCAACTCCCGCGTGGATAAATCGAGGTATATTTATGACCTCTCATCTGCCGTGGTTCATAAAGGAAAGCTGGACGCAGGACATTACTATGTCTACTGCCGGCAGGGTGATGAGGTTTGTTTTCCATCTACCGTGACTTGTCACCATGCGTAAACAAGCAGCTGTGAAGTGTGGGCCATCGCTAACATGAACAGTGGATACTCTTCAACGATGACCAAGTCACATCTGTGACAGAGGCTGATGTCCTCAGTGCCGATGCATATCTTCTTTTTTACAACCTTCGGTCCTTGGCCGGTGCTCCGTCGCAGTAGGAGGGCGTACATTCACCACATTGTAATGTGGATTGATTGCTCATTGCATGCTTCTTTAGCGGCTAGGAGTCCATGGGCATGGGTTTATATCATTGTTTGCAATATACATCTGTATCACTTAGGTCACTGTAGTAGCATCGACCTATAGAAGACTAAGCCGTTGCATGACAAGAGTCATTTGTCTTGAAGAGACATAGCGCTTAACACTCAACTGCTTTAGTACTAGTACTCATTAGTGTCTATAGTTACATGTTGACAATTACATATTTCACCCAAGGGTTCACCGGACACTTTCTTCTACAAGTATAGGCGACATCCAGGCTATTCAAGGGAAATCATGACGTCCGATCATTAAAGCAATTCGATCTGAGTCCCTACGTCCAGTAATCTATCATCTCTCGGTATAGCAAGGGACGCCGGTGTTTTCTTTAACTTGACACCGATCATGATTGTACACACACAGTTCTACCGAGATCATTACGGGCACTACAAACCAACATCGCAGTGCGAACAGCATATGCTCATTAAATCTTTCAGTCATCGACCAGCGCGTCTGGAGTGGTGGAGGAAGAAAGAGATCAAGAGAGCCCAGATAATGAATTCCAGAAAAGTTCCTCGTTTCAATTCATGTATGAATTGGGAGAAAAGAAAAAAGGGTTCGACATGACACCTCTTAAATAATTGTCAACACCGGCATCCGTGCATGATTTTCCTCCAACAACTTTTATTATTCCATATCTGTTTCCCCGTCGGAATCCCAAGCGAATCGAATCGGTGTCCTTTCCGCTATTTTCCAAGGTTGTTACCGAGCGCCGAGGACGTAACGAATTTCGTGACCAGGAATTTCCAGTTGATATTTGATTTAACGGTACTGTAGTTTGGTAAAACATATGAGTTAGTGATCGAGTTCTTTCTTTCTCCACCTGCACTCCCCAGCTCAACGTGTTCCTTTTTCTTTTTCTTCTGTTTCCAAGTATCTTTTCTTTCATCGTGGTTGCTGGGTTGTGGGTGGTATAATATTCAATCGCGAAGGCCATGTCACGAACCTTGTAGAAACCGATGTCCTGAGACTTCTCACGGAAGCACTGACGGCAGATGTTCATCTATAACCCCATATCAGTTTCATACATCCCAACACATTTCTTTCGGAGATTCGATATATTCCACATACACCGTACTTGCGGATAAGACCAGCGCGGTGGGTGCAAACGCGGCTAAATCGTAAAAGAAACCACAATCAGTCCCAAACTGTTCCATCACCCATTTCAACCAACACTGTAGAACCCGAAGTTCCCATCGTCGTCTAGAGGAAGGGGAGTGGTTTCAAGCCTTCACATACCATCCACGGGAGCCCTTGCCGTAACTATATCGCAAAAAGAACCACCATTAGTCAAAACGTCTCTATATCGTCAAAATTCACGGAGAAAGCGGGGAGTCCTTACGTGCGAGGACGGCTGTACCACACGGACTCGTGAGTCATCTTGAATTGATTCGACGGCGAGGAAAACCTGGCGGGTTGACGGTGTTTGGGCAGGCGGTTTGTCGTCGCTGGGCGGTTGTGGTTGAACGGGAGAACGAATGTTAGGGTTGGAAAATCCGTTGTGTGCTTTCTCTGTTCCCGATTCGGACCAGCTCGCTTGAGCGGCGCTAAACTTTGTTGGGCTGGGCTGCGGGTTAGGATATTATGGTCATGTGATGGTCCTGTCTTGCTGTGTTGGGTTTAGTGCATGTTGTTTATCGGGTGTCTGGGGATCGGCGGGCGTAATGTTTCTCCTTCTCCGCTGTCTACTATGTAAGTTATGTACTTTACTTTTATTAATTAACTAACTATGCGAGATCTGCCAGGTGAGAATCACAGCAATCCTTGACTGGAAGATGCGTGGCTGGTATCCAAAGTATTGGGCATACGTGGAAGCACTGGATACAGTTACACACCTAGTGATGGTTTTGACGATTCATAACAGCGGTGTACTGCATGGCCAAAAAGAATAGTATGTAGTGGATTCGATATTAAGTAAATGGTATGGCTGATTGGTAGATACCAAACATTGTTCTGAATATTACTATATGAAAGGAAAAGTCAACGCAAATGAGAAAGACAAGCCAATCGAAAGTATGACAAGGAGTTTCTGAGTTATTCACTGGAGTCGCTTTGATTGCGAAAGCACATTTATTGGGGTCAGACTATGAGGCTGTTTGATGAGAAACTCACGAGTTGGATAAACATGGTAACTAGGTCCTATAGCTTCAGCTATTGTTAAGCCGGACTTGCAGTACCTATATGTGGAGTGGATACAGGAGTTATTGTTAAATTGCAACTTTACAATGACAAGACAAAGATAAGCGGAGCGGTGCCATGCAGCAATTGCTAGAGGGAACGGGCATATTGAATAGGTTCAGATTCAAATATGCCCACCCTCCCTTAGATACTCATCAATATCATGAATCCCATAGCCGCTTTCCACATCATCACCATCCTCATCCTCATCCTCATCACCCGAAGAATCAACAGCCGTCACCTTCTGCCCATTCACATCCTCCACCCAAGTCCAATAACTATCATCATATGGAATCAAACCAGGCTTCCTAACACCCGGATATCGGCCCTCAAACCCCACCGTATCAAACGAATACGAAAACGGCCAAACTCCACTAATCTTCAAACGGACCCAGCCCACATTATAGGGCTCGTGCCTGTACCCCTTATCAGGAAAATAGCGATCAATCAAGATCACATATCCGACCTCTGTAGTAAACCAATTTTTAGTTTCAAGGGAGGGCTCTGGGCTCGCCAGAATAGATTGAATGGCATGGTTATCAACCATTAAGCAAAAGGTTGACCGTGGTATGCTACCATGATTGTACACTCGATGTCGTTCTACCCAGTTTTGGAACAGTTGCCGGACTTTAGCGGGTGAAGCCCCCCTTAACAATTCCTCATCATCAACAATGACGTTCTTACAGCACTCCCAGACGATCTCGGCTGGCTCAGGATGATCATCATATCTTATAGTGCAGTGGATATAGCGATGGAGTTTGGCAAGGGCATGGTTCCAGTCCTCGTCGGAGCCGTATATTGTCCGGTAGATGAAATATCCCCACGGCCAACCTTGGCACCAGTGTGTAGAGTCCTTGAGGAACCGCCCTGCGAGAGTTTAGCCCCGCCATGGTTGATTTTCAAGGCGATCATAGAGTTCCACTATCCCAAGCTTGGTCTGGCGAAAAGTCAGATGAACTCCATGGTTCAGACCAGAATTTGTGGTAGAAGAATCCGTTGTACGAATCAGGTGACGATGGTCTAGTTTGGTCCGAAATTGTGCACGGAGACGAAGATCTGCTGGTTTGGATTCTGCGCTTTTCAAGAAGAGTGCTTGGGACTAAAGTCATGACATCGAATCCACAGGCGGGGTAACCTACGGCAACTACCGTAGTACCCGGCTGAGTGAATTATGCGGTCGTAGCTCAGGCCATGTTGATATACTACATATCAAAACAATGAGATTTCCTGAGCCTCACATTTGCTTACCGAAAAATTCGCATACGCACACAGTCATCTTGCTTCATGGCCGCGGGAGTAATGGACCTGAATTCGCCGAGGAGCTCTTCTCCTCCATGACCTCCAATGGCCACAGTTTGGCCTCATGCCTCCCGAGCTGGCGTTGGGTATTTCCCACTTCTCGCGATCGTTGGAGTGATAGATTCCAGGAAGAAATGTGTGCCTGGTTTGATGCATACTCCTTGGATGACATCCATGAACGACAAGATTTGCAGATTGCCGGTTTGAGGGAGTCGGTCACCCACATCTTGGGCATCCTAAACCACGAAATAGGAATCCTCGGTGGGAACACCAGCCATGTCTACCTTGGAGGTATCAGTCAGGGGATGGCAACCGCCATCTGGACATTGTTCTGTGGCACCAACCAGATCCATCAGCCGCTTGGTGGCTTTGTGGGGTTTTGCGGCTGGTTGCCATTTGCACGGCAGGTAGAAGATCTTGTTCGAGGATCACAGGAAAGTCGTGCTGTCGACGCTTCCAGCAAACAACTGATACAACGATCGGTAGCTGGTTTCTTTCTCAATACTATCTCTGGTTCCGAGATATCGCAGACAACTGAAACCATCGACGCTTCGATCTTATCAACGCCTGTATTTCTGAGCCACGGAAGCGACGATGTGTGGGTGCCCGTGGACCTGGGTCGACAAGCAGCTCGAGTCTTACAGCAGATACAATTCCCTGTTCAGTGGCATGAGTTCGCTGGGGCAGAAGGTGACGGCCATTGGGTCAAAGAGCCCCAGGGGCTTGATCAGATTCTTCACTTTCTCAAGGAATGCTGCAGTCATACTTAGGCAAGACGCCACTTGTGCGACGAGACATGCTACACGGTCCTCATAGACATAAGAGGACGAAATGATACCACTGCCATATGTCAGTGATACAAGAAGCCTGCAGAGATGTAACACGTTATGTTCCGGCATTCCGGGCCACTTGGGATAGCTTCGAGGGTTAGGTTTAACCTTCAATCATCATGCCAGCGTTACTATACTGGTAGTATCAATGAAGGCTGCAGTTAGAACAGATCCTGTATGGGAAAAAATGATGCGCTTTGTAGAATCCCACAATGCCACATGGGAGACTAACTACAATTCGAAAATGAAAGCAACTTCCCGTCCTAGTCTCCAAATGGCGAGCTTCATTTCGAGACTACTCCGTAGTAATTAGTAAACAGCACATGCATACAAAAACGAACGCTCGATTCCACTTCCACAATCTTCTAGATCCCATCCACCAACGGACCCATAAAAAACCCCACTTACATAAGAAAACTGCCCTAACTAACTAGCGTCTCTCCTAGTCCGCAAAGCACGCACCTGAATATTAGTACACATTAAGTAAACAACGATCCGTGGAAGGACCGGCTATCCATCCGTAAGGGAATAAATTGACCACTCTGATTGGTGGGGAAGCATTGACGATCTCGGAGATTGGCCCTCACGAGTCACAACACGACGAGCGTCAGGTGCCGGATTTCCGATGCGATTACTCGGAAGAGTAAAAATTCTCCAGCGATGGGAGGATACTGGAGAAGGGAGTTCGCTCCGTTCGGGATTGTCACGGATCAGATCGAAGACGGCTTGTGACAAATTTACCAGTCATTGTGCCGTTTACCTTTCATGTACATAGTTAAATCCTTTTGAGGAGATGTCAGCCCACCCTACATAGTACTTTTCCTGGGGGATACGTCATGGGGCTGAGATACGTTCATTGCCCAATATGTCAATACTATCTGCGGAGTGAGGTCCCTGTGTCTTACAGATAAGACGCAAGGAATTAAGTAGGCCGGAATCGATACATCATGCGTTTTTGTTGACTAAAGACATCGGCCTTCCTTGGAACGGACGGCCAGGCATTCGGGTACTGGATACGGTTAGGGTTTATGGTTTTTACAGGTTACAGGGCAGGTAGCGCCCGTCCAGCTCCAATAACCTAAAAGGGATGGTCTTCGGATTCCCAATTTAAGATCATCCTAGTATGTAGTTATCAGGGCTAGTTAACTAGTAGTTAGTAGTTAACTCATCACTCCCGATTATGTAAGATATCACCGACAAGACTTCACGAGCTGCTATGACTGTACCCCCGGATGATAGCAATTATAAAAGATAAAGCTTTCAAAAGCCGTGGTCTTATGATTTTGCTAAGAGGATATAAACAGTTAGGTTTCCCGTTACCACGCTCGACCGTTCATTATCGCCAAGCCCATACCCTTTAATTTATTAGTCGAGATAGTGGGTCTTGGAGTCGCTAACAGCACGGACAATTTCTGTGATGTATGTATGTATGCATGTTTCCTATGTATAAGCCCATCACAACTATGGCTTCAATTTTCAATAGTCGATCGTGGCGTGCTTTGTCCAGCTCTGTACCTGGTGCAATATGTACTAGTAATTCCCTTCTGTCCGTCAGTGATGTCCAGGGGTTGTCGCCAAGCAGGAACTGCCTTAAGAGTACCAAGTCCTCGAGGGAACGTTCAGGAACGAAAGAGATCAAGATGAATAATGATGACAAGGATCAAGGTGAAAATGACTAATAGAGTGGAGCGAATGAGTCATACCACTCGAGCGGAAAAGTATAAGCGAAAGACAACGAAGAAGTGTAAATTATAAAAAAAAAAAAAGAATAATAAATAAAATAATAATAAAAGCTCCAGAACCATTTGAAAAACACGAACTTGTAATTCCGAAGGGAAAAAAAAGATGTGTGCCCCCGATGGGAAAGTGCGTGTGTATACGATGTGGTACCGAGTACAGATGGACTGATTTAATCTACTGCTGACAGAGTATGTTATGGTGTTTTTTTTTTTTTTTTTTTGCTGTTCGGGGTTCATACGGAAGACCGCGGATGCAGGTGAGTACTTGATCCGTTCCAACCAAGAACCAGCCAGCCAGCCAAGACAGGATCGTCGGTTGGGTTGTCAGATGAGAATACACGGTCACAGGGCAGGCAATGATTAATGAGCCCGTCCATGTCAACGTGCGAGACCCACTTAGTGACTTGGTGGATCACCATTCCCATCCGAAGAATGAATGTATTGATGACCACACCTGCACTGGTAAAAGATCGACGCTTGATTGTAATCCTTTGTACGGAATGCTTACTAGTACTTCCGTCCTCCGTATCGCCTTGTGGTTGTGTACTCCAGCCCTCACCATCTCATTTGTTGGCCGTCACATCTGTGGTGTTCTTGGCTACCTTTCGCGGGATAGAAATACGATCTGCTACATAGGCAGCGAGGATTATAGGATTATTCTATTATACCTAACAGGAACAACGTCCCGTCATTACCTCGAGCCCTCAGCCCCTCACTGACACCCAACTTAAAAAAAAACCCCATCCTCCTTTGAGTCTTTGAACGGTGCCTGTTATCGAAAATGAGAACAGCGGTGGGTTAATGAGACACCAACCTGCATTAGAGCGTCATACTACACCACCCATGGATACTTGGCTGTGAGATCAGACCATAAGGCTCTAACAAAACTAAGTATAATCCTCCAATACGGAAGCATTGTGAAGTGCCTCTCAGCTGGACCGATAACAAGTATGCTCCGGCTAAGTTTCCTGTTGCAAGAAGTGACACCTTCTATTATGTACGCGAGGGGCACGTTGTGATAATGGTATGTTGATTGATCTTCATGCAGAAGAGGGGTATACAAGTCTCGGTCCTAGTTTTTCAGGATACTTCATCAAGCGGTCTGACTGGTTGCCAGTCTGATCGTCATGTACCAAGAGAGTTCAATCATTAAGCTTGGTAAAAACATGAGATTGCATAAATTTGGGAAACGCATGGTCATCTGTGCTGTTGTTTGAGCGAAAAACATACGTGGGTAGGTGTAGAATATACCTACTCCGGGGTAGTGCTATGTCTTTCCTTAGTAGTAGCATGTCTTTCCCCATCCTTAGGGCACCCCCACAAAGCCCTGTATGCAAGAAAGGTGCATTGTCGCGCTTATGTTAGCTTGCATGTTATTTGGTCATTAGAAGGTAACGGCGGTGACTGATGACATTTTAGATAGGATCGTTTACTGTATTGTTTTCACTGCCTCACCGCACATCCTTGGGGGCCACAAAGATTAACAAACAGCGTTACGCTAGCAAATCAGGTCACTTGTGGTATGTACTCAGCCTTGTCCTCTCGAGATCAACTTGTTTATACGACATACCAGCTGCCTGACATGAGGGAGGAAAGTAAAAAGTAAGAAGAAAAAAAAAATTAATTTGAAAACAAAGATATAAAGATATAAATATGAAAACAAAGAAAATCCCGGGAGACAAGGTCACAACAATCATTGCCAGGCGACTGGTCCAAAGCTAGGATTGTTTATGTTATTGCTATTGACAATAACGACATTCTGACTCGGTAATTATATAGGTGTTTCACTGCTTTAACTTAGTTGCATATATGTTATCGAGTCCATTTGTTGGTTTCTTGTTCTTTGTTGACAGATTGTTTCTTATAAATTATAGTATTGTGTAAGACTATATTTAACATGGTTGTCTAGATAGACACCCGAGTAGTAGTGCCTAATCCATAGGCTACGGGCTCTAGGCCAGGCGCTAACCAGCCAGTACCTCGGGATGAGGTCATTTTTTTTCCCTTGTTCTTTTACAGCACAGTGGGAGGAAGCCGGTAGCTCCGAGTATCCGAGAGAGCCATGCCAAGCGCCTCCTTTTTCTTTTCCTTTTTTTTTTTTTTTTTTTTTTTTTTTTTTTATTTCGTTTTATTACAATTGACTTCGATACTCTGCAAACTATTATGGGGGCACTACCTTTTTTTTAGTTGTTTTTTAATTTTTTAATTTTTTTTTTTTTTTTTTTTTTTCCTCCCAATCATTACGGAGTACGTCGCGTCTGCTATTACTCCGTACATCCTTAATCCTTGGCCACTTCCAACAAAGTACGTATGGGAAATTGTCCATCAGCGCATCTGATTTCCGTGAAAGGCCTACAAAATACAAAACTTTGATGATCTTCTAGGTTGTATACTTCTGTAATTTACATCCGTATTTCCATTCTCTTTCCATTTTATTTTTATTTTTATTTTGAGAGGTCCAGACTTTAATTGCTATCAACCTAACCTACTTCGTCTACTATGACACCAACGGTTCCAAACCACTGGGAGGCAAGTCATAATGACGATGGATTCAGATCTTAGAGATGACGGTATATACTGCCTCATCTAGGCAGACAAATCAAACCGGAATGGAGTGTATCAACGAAATCATAAGAGTATCACCAAACACCGGGAAGATTATTATTACAAACTTGACACTACAAAAAATGAGAACATCGGACATCCATGTCCTTGTTAGCTCGGCGCCTAGCGTGAAGCGTGTTCCCAAAGACTCCACTTTCGGCACACGGAGCTTTGGGGAGCTTCAATCAATCAGTGACTTTTCTTGTTTCCACGGCCCTGTCGGCCTCGCTGCACCTTATCCCCGCCCGCTCCGAAAGAACCGCGAAAGCTCGAGAGAGACAGGCAATACTAGATCATGAATAAGAATTAAAAAGATTGGCACGGTCCTATGGTACCCGCTTCTATGGCTCACGGTGGTCTGGTTGGATTCCATATAATCCTGCTGCATTCTCCCTTCTGTTCCACCTCTCCCAGTCACCCTCCATAGTTCAGCCCTATACTCCCCTCTAGTGTGTGATTGCGCCTTCACGAGCTGGCGCACCACCCGCCCTTAAATCGAATCATACATAGTATCTATTGCCGGTAGCGGCCAGTGTCTACACAGCTCTTTACCTATAAAACAAAAATTTCCGAAGCTCTAGGGACCGAGATCGGGGGTTTCCGGGCCATCCGCTTTGCGACAAGATTCGCATTCAGCCGTCCTCGCCTTAGTGATCGCTTTATAATCTAATACTACAGATTTCGCAACCATGTGGCAGAAAGCTTCTCACGCCACGATCGCGGCTGCCTCTCTATTTGCTTCCCTTGCCAGTGCTATCCCGCATGGAGATGACCACGCGATGAATATGGACATGGGCATGGAGACGAACAGCACCCAGGCGCAGCCCGAATCGCATGCCGATACGAGCGACGACTCGCCCATGAGCTATTTTGCCTATGGAAAGCATTCGAGCACAATCATCGCTCACATAGGCCTGATGGTTCTTGCCTGGTGCTTCATCCTCCCTGTTGGTAAGAATTCGAGTCCTGCTTTCTATTTTCCATTGATTTTCAGCCACGACTGACAGATCCGTAGCGGTTATGTTTAGCGTTGCACGTTCTCGATTTGCACTTCCGTCGCAATTTCTTTTCCTGGTTTTCAACGCGTTGGGCTTGCTTCTGGGCATCATTTACAACAGTCAAACCCCTGATCTATACGAGAACAATGCTCATCACAAGATCGGGTGGATCGCGACATGGGTCATTAGCGCGCAGGTCATCATGTCGCTCATTTTTGCCTATGCTGGCAGAGGCGAGTCCGATGCGACTTCGTACGAGCGTGCTGCATTCCTTCCTGTGTCTACGGACGAGATGGCCGAAACCCCGACGCATCCGACCGGAATTCACCATGAGTATCGTTGGTCTAGAGAGAGCGGCCAGGAGACAGAGGTCAATTCCACTTCCCTCCACAGTCGCCCTAGTTCATCAACTTGCGCATCCCCCTCGGAGGAATATGATACATTTGACAAGCCCGAGGCCCAATTCCCAGAACAACCCGCTCAGAGTCGTGGTTGGCTGCGCAGCACCTTTGTGAACCGCTTTCTCGCGAGCCGTGTGCCCCGTATGGTCTCTAGTCGCGCCCTTCGGATACTCACCAGTATCTATTTGGTGATTGACCGAATCATCTTGCCTTTCGGTTTCATCGCTATCGCTACCGGTGCCGTAGCTTATGGTGGTATCATGGTAAGGAGCTGTGCGCATCAGTTGCTATGTGGGCATTGCTAATACATAAATGACACTACAGAGGGGGAGAGAAATCTTCAACGGTCTCGCACATTTCATCAAGGGAGGCATCTTCTTTTGGTATGGTTTGTTGACCCTGGGACGATTCATGGGCTGCTGGGCAGATCTCGGATGGGCTTGGAATGTCAAACCCTCGCGCGACATTGTTGGAAAGTGGAAAGCCAAGATCCCTACCGGTGAATTTACCGAGTCTTTTGTGATCTTCCTCTACGGTGCCAGCAACATGTTCCTCGAGCACCTCACCGGTTGGGGCGGCAAATGGACTGCGACAGATCTTGAGCATGTGTCCATCTCTATCATGTTCTTCGGTGGCGGCTTGTGTGGGATGCTTTTTGAATCTCAGCGCGTCAGGAGCTGGTTGAACAGCACTGTCCTGCAATACCCCTCGAACCTTCGCAGGCATGGCCCATCCGACACGGCTTGGCAGCTTCCCGACACTCAAGGCGTTTCTCTCAACCCAATGCCTGCCCTGGTGATTCTGCTTTTGGGTAGCATGATGGGATCCCACCACCAATCCAGCATGGTTTCCACTATGGTACACAAGCAGTGGGGTAACATGTTGGTTGGCTTCTCGTTTGCTAGATGTATGACCTATGTCATCATGTATCTCAAACCACCAACCTCTTATCTACCTTCCCGTCCCCCCACTGAGATTGTTGCCGCTTTCTGTTTGATCTCCGGTGGCTTGATTTTCATGTTGAGTGTAGGTGTTACCTGACTGATGAAAGCATTGAGTCATGCTAACTGTTCTTAGACCCGGAATGTAGTCGATGCCATCGAGTTCTACGAGCTCGATGCGATGTTTATCTTCACCGTTGGTATGGGAGTGACCGCCTTCATCATGGCTTGTGAGATCTTGGCTATTGCCATCAAGGCCTGGGCGGCCAAGAAGGAAACTCGTCCTCAGCTTCCTCCTTTCCAATTTCCGGCCTGAGTAGAAAGCTTTCCTGGGTTGAAGGGCACGCCTCGCCGTGTCGCTTTATGGGTGGAGGTGCGTGCCCTTCACACGGGACATGCCGGATAAGATTCTCTACCGAAATGGTTCTCTCGTCGCCCTATCGAAAACCAAGGAACTGAGAAAAGGGGTAAATGAGAACAAGAAAAAAAAAGAAACGGGAAACGGCAAAAGAGACATCGAACAGCCTTGTCTTGATTATTGCAGCGATATACCCCCTAAACTATTTGTTTTTGGCCTGGTGTCAGAGCTCAAGCTTACGAGTGACGGGCATATACCACTGATACCAGAGCTTTGTTCTATGATTTTTGACGTGCCCTTATGTTAATGAATGATATCCCTGATTGTTAATGTGGTGGAGGCTAATGACTGGTTTGGATCCTAATATACATTACATTGTTTATAATGAATGGTCTTAGTGGCCTGAGAATTATGAGTTACTTATATCTGCCCGTGGGTTGATTCCTGACTCTATGAACCACAATACATGTAGCTTCTTAATACTAATGGTACTGGAGCAGGTCTAGAAGGACCGCTGCATCCAATCTCATACAGCAGCAGGACAATCAGAGTGACCGCCTTGGGTCGGAGTTAGAAGTAAACCCCGAGCAAGAAAAGCTTAGCCCAGACACTGTTGGTTCCCGCTCTACTTGCCGGGCGGTCGGCAGATTTCCATTATGGTGGCGGTTACTAGTGACAGCGCTTGGCAGGGTTGTACGTACTGGACAGGTACATGCTTATATGCTTTCCATATACTGCGGATCTCGGTGAATTTTTAACTCATAGCTCGATAACACGGTGTGAATTACTTTTCGGCCCTTCAGTTGACATCTAACATGCTGAAGTTGGAGTAACGACTGGGAGAATGCAACTTATGTACATACCGTAGTTATTAATAATGCTGATGGGAAAGTGGGGGAGTGGAGGGGAACTAGAAAATGGGCATTATTTAAAGAGGGGCTGCGGTGTTCCCTCGGAGCTTCTTCACCCCGTAGTTTCGCAACTTTTATATATTTCGCCTGCATAGTAAGGAATTCCTCAAAGGCTTTTTGTTAACCATCATCTGATTCACCCACTTCAGAAATTCCAAAATGGCTTCTAACCCCCCTGGACCTTGCTGCGCTACTGGCTTCAAGCATGAAGGCAACCCAGTTGGTGAGATCAAGAAGGTCAACGGCAGTAAGTTATCTTGCATCCATACATTTTAAAAGTCATGGATGCGCAGGGTCTAATCAACTTTTCATAGTCGACACCTACATTGTCTACCCACAGAACAAGAGCACCGAGAAGGTTGTCGTCTTCCTGAGCGATATCTTCGGTATCTATGTCAACGCTCAGCTCCTCGCTGACGAGTTCGCCGCCAATGGATACACTTGTGTTATCCCCGACCTTTTCCAGGGAGACGCCATCAAGGTCAGCGACATGGAATCTGGAAAGGCCGACCTCCCCGCCTGGCTCCCCAACCACCAACCTAGCCACGTCGACCCCGTCGTCGAGTCTACTGTCAAGTACGTCCGCGAGGAATTGGGCGCTAAGCGTGTCGCCGGTGTTGGATACTGCTTCGGTGCCAAGTATGTCTGCCGCCACATGAAGGAGGGCAAGATCGACGTTGGTTTCAACGCCCACCCTTCCTTCGTCACCCACGAGGAACTCGGTGCTATCACTGGTCCTCTGTCCATCGCCGCTTCCGGTAAGTTGAATCCGTCTAGGGCTGTGGATACACATAGCTCTCCAGTATTAACGCACTCAATAATAGAAATCGATCATATCTTCACTACCCAACTCCGTCACGAGTCTGAGGAGACTCTGAAGAAGACTAACCAGCACTGGCAGATCAACCTGTTCAGCGGTGTTTCCCACGGTTTCGCTGTCCGCGCGGACCTGAGCAACAAGCACTTCAAGTTCGCCAAGGAGCAAGCTTTTTGTCAGGCTGTCAACTGGTTCAGACAGTACCTGTGAACTAAAAGCATAGAGATTGTTAATAACTAGCTTTTTGTATATATCGACTTCATGCTAACGAATTGATTTGAAGAATGGTATACTTTGAATATACGCATGTCTCGAAATACCTAGCTCTGTCATGAACATCTTGTAAACTCCACTGATTAAATAGTCCACATGCACTTTCGACGCAAGAAGACTACCAGTGCTACATTTGACGATGCCAAGGGGATCCAATGCTTTTTGTTTCTTCACTAAATTTATAGCTATGGTTGATGGTTCTATTATTAGTAGCGGATCGATAAGGTTGTTGTTCACTCCATAAACTTGGCTTCCAGGAAGGCTTTGTGAGATATGTGTAAAGCAGACCAAGTACTTGCGGCTTCTGCAGAATAGAAAGAGTCAAGACCTACAATTAATTCTATATAAATATACGCCTTAGGCACCATGTTGATCAGCCTTGTCCAGGCACGTGATCCTGGGGGATCCGCGCCGACAAAAGAACCGCCGGAAGAACAGGTGGAATAAGTGAGACTGTCGAGAGAAGGAAGCGCAAGAAGCTGCGCGTTTCGTTGCTCGCTCTTTGTCCTTGTCATTGAAGTTTCTAGCTTTCCTGCCGATTAGACCTTGTTTCCTCGCTCGCATCTGTTTTTCTCGACTGGGGCTTGTCAAGTCTTTAATCTCTCTGTCGTGTGTATTCTAGCGTCTGCGATCTGTGTTGTTGCCCCTGTGGTGGCATCGTTACAAATTACCCACGATACCTAATTACTCTGTACTCCTGCATTTGGCAAGACCTACGAATTACCATTACAATTTTACATTCAGGGCTTCCCATTGTCCTCGACCGCAGCGTTCGATCAGCGAATCCGGCCTACTCCGACCTTGAACTTTGGTGGATTGCCTCTGACGCTTGTCACCTAAGTTTTGCGCGCATTCCCGACGCAGTCAATTACTCTACCTGCGAAACACTACATATATTGGGTTGAACCTCTGTTGTGAAATCAATATGGCTACTCCTGCCGCGTTACCACCTCTCCCTTTTAACCCTGCGAGGGTACGGTCGTATCTTCTTCGTTTGCCTCTTTTTACACGACTTGTGGTGCTGGCAATTATCGTCTTTTGGCTTCTTGAGTTACAAACAGTATGGAGTGTGGTACAATGGGGTTCGTTGGCGCCGGATGAGATTGGTTTCGGCAGCAGTATGTACCCTTGTGTGCCTTGCTCCTGAAAGAGAAGATTAAGCCCATGTGTGGTTCTGACGCTATCATAGTGTATCGGCTCAATACCTATCCATTCATTCACAATGGCTTCTTCCATGCTTTTTTGAACTTGGTGGCGCTTACGCCATTGGTCGAGCGCTTTGAAGCCGAGCATGGCACGTTGACTGCTGTGGCTTTGTTCGTGGGGCGTAAGTTATATTCTGATTTCTGGATATTGAGACCAGGTGGGCTAACATTGACTGTCGATGTAGCGCTTTCTACATTCCCTGCAGGCCTCTACCTCCTGATCGAGAAGTTCCTTTTGCATAGGAACACCGCCGTAGTTGGCGCAAGGTGAGTGCTATATTCTTCGATCTTACGAGTAGACAGGGCTAATAGAGCTTCAAGCGTTTGGGTATTCCTCCTATTGGGCACCGAAGCTATCAAGACCTTCAAGTCCCACCCGTACTTTAGGTATATCCCTAGATGCGAAATCCCATACGTCCCACAATTCGCTAATATAAGCCTAGTCTTGGGAATTACAAGATCCCTACCTGGACATCACCCTTGTTTGCGTGCATAGTTGTTTCGATCCTTATGTCTAACACGAGCTTCCTTGGCCATTTATGCGCTATTCTCATCGGCTATTTGTGTGAGTATCGCGTTTCTGGTCTTACGATAGTCATTTATACTAATCCTTCTACACTAGTCGGCCTTGGGTACCTGAAGGTGTTCGTCCCTCCCGAGAAGATCCTGAGATGGATCGAAGGAAAACTGAACCTGTTGGGTCGGCTACCACACTATGTCTCTGTCGATCAAAAGACGTTTGGCCGATATGGTGTACTTCCCACAACAAATACAATGGGTGAGAGAGGGACTCCTATGAGCTATTTGGGATCGTCGCAGCGTCTGGGTCCCTGAGACCGTTGACTGTTAACACCGTGTCGGACTCCTATATTACAATTCTTGTGCATATTTAAGTATTATAGTAATCATCTGTTATAGTAGTCTTGTGAGGGTGATTTTTTTTTGGCTCATAAAATGCATTAGCGTTGTTTTTTGACATGGACATTAAGAGAGTTGTGCAGATGGTCTTTAGCGGCCGACGTAAATAAATTAAGGCGCTGCGGAGTGGACTCCCAGTGCCTTTGAAACTCCGCGGATACTACTACTACTACTAGTACTGCGACCAACTCCCCGAATGTCTTGATTCAATGGCGTTAAAATGTAAGTCGCTGCATGCTTGCAGCGTGCCAGTTAAGCTGCATCAGCTAGGCTCCGCTTCCACCAAGATCCTCCTCCCTCCTCTATTTGGCTTACCCCGGATTAATATTGCAAAGGACAACTCAGAGTAAACCAAGCTAATTGAAGACCAATGACAGCTGCAATCCGCAAATTGCGGAGTAATCCCCATTTCCTTTTCGTGCATTTACCGCACATCCTCTCGTTTCTATGCGTCCTCGCTGGAGTCATCTGGCTTCTCCTCCTCCCCCTCAACGACTACTCTCGTCGAACGTACATCTCCGAGAACGCGCTTCTCCCCGGCCAGGTCCATGCCTACTTCTCTGGCAGTGATCAGAACATCTTTCGCGGATACCGAAAGGAGCTAGAGGGGCTTCTACCCAATGGAGCTCCAGGGGAGGGTCCAGAAAGGAATGCTATTGAATTGACGCCGGAGTATGGTTACGGTCCTGCTTATGACGTCTACTTACTCTTTGTGCTAAACTGAGCTCTTTACTAGGATCTCGGGTAAGATACAGTCGGTTCTCAGAGCTTCCGGCTTGAAAGTCGCGACGCAGAAATATGAATACACTTCCGCGGGGATCACGCATCAGGGACAGAACGTCTATGCCATCATTCAAGCGCCGCGGGGCGATGCGACGGAGGCGATCGTACTGGTTACGGCTTGGAAGACAGCTGATGGAGAACTGAACCTGAATGGCGTTACCCTCGCACTGACGCTGGCAAGATACTTTAAACGTGGGTTGCTTTTGTTTTGCCTTATAAGAAGGGCCATAACTGATTGTTTCCAGGATGGTCTCTGTGGTCGAAAGACATCATATTCCTGATCACTCCTGACAGCAAATCGGGGACGCAAGCGTGGATCGATGCATACCATGACATGCAACCGCCCTCTGTTCAGCCGCTGCCGTTGAAGAGTGGTGCATTGCAGGGAGGTCTTGTGGTGGAATACCCCTTTGATCATCGGTTTGAATCGTTACATATTGTCTACGACGGTGTTAATGGCCAATTGCCGAACCTAGATTTGATCAATACTGCCGTGTCAATTGCTGGTGGTCAAATGGGTATCGGTGCCAATTTGCAGGAGATGTGGGACCACGATGATAGCTATGAAGCGCGTTTACAAACTATTCTGAGGGGCATGGCTAAGCAGGGTTTCGGGTACGCCACTGGAGCGCACAGTAGCTTCATGCCGTACCATATTGATGCTATCACACTGCAAACGAAAGGAGATGGCTGGCAAGATGAAATGGCCCTGGGCCGAACTGTGGAAAGTCTGTGTCGCAGCTTGAATAACCTCCTGGAACATTTGCATCAGAGTTTCTTCTTTTATCTGCTTATGCAGACCAACCGGTTTGTCAGTATCGGCACGTATCTACCCAGCGCGATGCTGATCGCTGGCAACTTCACAATCATGGCCATTGCCCTGTGGTTACGGACTGGCTACTACATGGACTTTAAGCCTAAGCCTTCGGTCAAGACAGATGCTGCCCAGGATGAAAAGGAACTAGCAGCAAGCTCCCAGGACAAGGGCAAATCGAAGGTGACAAATGTGGAACAAAACGGTGACGCCAACAGCATCATCGAACGACAGCTGGCGCTCCCACTCAGCTTTGTCGTCGGCCTACATCTGTTGGGCCTTGTCCCTCTCTTCATCTTCAACAATCTTTCTCACAAGGTCAGTCTCACCATTACATCATCACAGTCCTATATTCTCTGACAAAAACCAGTACTTCACAACCGCAACCTACACCTTCATTATAGCCGATCTCGTCCTTCCGTTAGTCCTCGCAGTCTTGCTTACCCAAGGCTTCACCCCCAAGCCCCAGCAATACCTTCTTATGAAATCCTTCTCCCTCCTCCTCCTTGGTCTCTTCCTTTCCACTCTGGCTACTCTGAACTTCTCCCTCTCATTCATGATCGGCTTGCTCTGCACTCCCCTCAGCTTCGTCAATCGCATCAGTCCTACCACCAGTGCACCTATCCGGTATGCACTTACCTTCATCGGACTCGTGCTCCTAAATCTTCTCTCGCCCCCTGTCGTCCTCCTCGGGGGCTGTTGGTATACCGGAGTATCAGTGGAGACCATTCTAACGCAAGCTGCGTTCGGATGGGACGTCTGGGGAATGTGGACACAGGTAGTAGTATGGTGTGTCTGGTGGCCAGCCTGGATGATTGGATGCGCCCTGTTGGGATTCTCCCTGTTTTGAAGAAGGTCCAATTGATTTACCATAAGTTCGACTCTATAGAAACCAGAGAAGAAACGAACACTGTAAATTAAACCTTTATATCATCCACCATACACACTCAAAGGGGAAAACTAGAAAAGAAAACCCCTAATAAAAGTAACAAACCTAACCAGAAGAACCAACCCGTCCAACAACCGCCAACATCTCAAAACCCTCCAACCCCCCCTCAACACCAACAACCCTCTCAACCCCAAACCCCCTCCCCTCAAAACACCCCACATAATCCCCCCAATCCGCCCTAGGGCCCAACCACAAAATCACCTCCACCACACCCCCCTCCCCAAACGTCTCAATATACCTCTCCACCAACTTCGGTTCCCGCGGATAGACAAACATCCACGCCTTTGCGCCGGGCACGCGCCAGGACAGGAGATCCCAGGTTCCCGTGACAACGTGCATGTCTTGTTCGGCGATGTAGCGGTTTACGGTAGGGTTTACTTCGACGCCTTCGATTTGGAGGGTTGGGTGGTTGTGGGTTAGGAGGGCTTCGAGGAGGCCGCTGCCGCTGCCGATTGAGAGAGTGTAGTTTGGTTTCTTGGGGAGGAGGGCTGCCAGGGTTTCGAGGAGGGGTGTGGAGAGTGAGAGGCAGCATGTTGGGAAGGCTTGCGGGGTGGTCGTTAGTTGGGTGGTGAGTCTTTGGAGGGTGGTTTCTGGGTCCTCTTCCATTGTTTTTCTTTTTTTGTGTTGGTTTGGTTTGGGTTGGGTTGTGGTGGGTTTGTTTTGTTTTGGGGATGATAGATGTATGGTTGAAGATAGAGATTTTGTGGAGGTGAAGAGGTCGGAGGTGAAAATTCTGCATGATTTCATACGTTATAATTATAAGTGTCAAGTCTAATATTCATTCGTACATATAACCCCAGGTGCTACTTTTGTAGTGCCCTTTTACGTTCAGAATATGACGAGGTACGACAATCGAATATAGCTCATGCAGCCCACACATCCTTGCCAACACCCTCGATCCAGTGACCCAATTGGTTGACGCCTGCGTCCCAGTCCTTCAGTCTATTCCGCATGCCTTCAATCTGGGTCATGTCCAGAACCTTTGGCTGGACCCAGTTGATCTGCGCGACTCCAGCCACCTGGTCAATGGCGCCCTTCAGCAGACCCAAAGACAGAGCCTTCATGATCAAATGTTCGATCTCCTCGGGCTTCACCTTCGTCTCGGAGGAGATGGCCGCGAAAGTCAGGTTCCGGTCATGCGGGGGTCTGCGGAAGACCATCTCCGTGAGGGCTGAGAGGGAGATCTTCTGGTAGAGGAAGAAACGATGTTGTTCTAGAAGCTGGTTCTTGGAGATGTTACCGGCCAGGACGTCATAGGCAGTGAGATCGCCGCGGTTGAAGGCGAAGAGGAGGTCGCGGAGCCAGCTGTGGGGGGTCTCGGTGAGGGAGTCCAAAATTGGATGAAGGAGTAGTTCACCAAAGTTGTAGATAGAGTCAGAGACGAGGGCGGCGACACTGAGATTGTATGCGCGAGAGACGCGCTCGGATTCGCTGATATCCTCTAGGTTGATACAGGCGAGGTAGAGGAGGGCGTTCTTATAGAATGAGGCGAATTCTTGTTTTTTCTAGTTATGCTCTGTTAGTCTATTTGGCGGTACATTCGACTTCTATGTGGCACATACATGGTAATAGTCAGCGTTGACTTTATAGAAGGAGGCGTGGACAACGGTCTCGACCGAGTCGAAGTTATCCAGGACCTTCTGACACGTTTCCAGGTCTTTCTGTGCTCCATCCAAGTCGTTGAGCCGTTGCTTGACATTGGCGACGTCCGCAAGGGCATAGATGTAGGCTTCTTGTGTGTCAGGCTTGTTCACCTTGTCGGCGAGGGATGTGAGGAAAGAGAGGCGTTCTTTGTCATCTGGTAGTTAATGATTTAGTACCACTATCTAGAGTTTCAGGCAAGGCGAAACGATTTCAAGGCATACCTGCACATTCTGTCGATGCCATCAACCCCAACGAGACGAATTTCAGCTGGTTGATCTTGTCGGCGAAGCTAAGCACAAAGGTCTTGAATATCGGTAACCGTTGAGGGGCGCTCTCTGGAAGGCGAAAGAATTCGATTAAGGAATCGGTAAGCTGGTGCCATAATTTCCGCTCCCAGTAGTCTTCGAAGGTGAGGAAGTAGGCCTGGCATTGTTCGGGAGCTTGCTGCAGCTGGTCCGCCAGGAAATCGGAGATCTTCTGGTTCTCCATCGCGGGGAGAGGTAGGGGCTGTGAAATGGAGTCGTGTGAATCAGATGGTGGATTACTAGCAAGTACCAGAGCTTGGCGCTGTCAATTAAGGTAGAGCAGGCGTGAGAACAAGGCCGTAAGACAATGAATAAGGTAGCAGCAGCTGATGACGATGGAAGAGTGGATGGAGAAGTGGAGCGAAGCTCACTCAAGGCGGTGTCTTTGCGCCGCCTGAGCACATGACATGGAAGGTAAGCCCTCAGGTACAAGAGTACATTTATTGCATAGTCCTATGTGATAGAGGTACAGGTTCGCCCATATTCCACTTTTTCACGGTATACAATTCTAGACATACGTAGTTTGACTCATAATGACTGAATACATAACTTTCATTGGTTGAACTATTCATAGAACTCTCCCAGCGTCGCGTACTACTGGAGAGCCGCGGTTTAGCGGTATAGAAGTATCCGATATGTCTCCGAAAGGGCCATACAGAGACCAACAAGAGACCACGAACCTTGCTGGAGTTTCCTTCTAGAGATCCACTGGTCAGCATAAATACGGCGTGTTTTCCTCTGTTCATTTTTCCTCTGTTCTTCAGTCTCCATCTCTCAACTCATTGAATTCTATTGATCAGTATCAAAGACCACTTCAGCATACCACTTTATCTAGAGAAGAACCATTGATATTCACCTCAATAGCCATGTCCGAGTTTACCGAAAAGAACAGACAGGTCTGGGAGTAAGGTCTTCTTTCCTTACACTTAAGAGTCGTGGCTCACAATACATAGCAACATGTCCAAAACATACAAAACCCGGTTCGAAAAGGGCACAAAGTTGCTATACCGCTTGGCTCAGGAAAAGCGCCTTTGGGGTAGTAACGTTTGGGCTGACACCGAAGCCGGGCAAGGCAAGGAGATCAAGGTGTTGGAATATGCATGTGGCCCTGGCGTTGTATCTACGGTCAGTCTATTGTCTCCGCCGGTCTATGTCGTTACAGACCGTAGTCGTGTAAGACGAGCTAATGTATTATTATAAAGGCATTGGCGCCATTTGCCACCAAAATCGTTGGCATAGACGTCGCGGACGGCATGGTCGACGAGTACAACGCTAGCGCTCGTGAGGCCGGTTTTGAGGACAAAATGATTGGCCGTAAGGGTGACCTTCTGGCCGAACCCATGCCAGAGGAGCTCTCAGGGCCAGAGTATTCCGATTTCGATGTCGCGTTCGTCAGCATGGCCCTTCACCATTTCGAAAAGCCGGATCTGGCCATGAAGCGTCTCGGAGAACGACTGAAGAAGGGTGGTGTGTGTCTAATAATCGACGTACTTCCACATGGCAAGCACGACCATAATGCCCATGAAATGCACAACCCCGACCATGAAACCACGCACACAATCAAGACTCATGGCTTTACCTTGGAGGATATGCGCAAGCTGTATGAAACTGCAGGGCTTGGAATGGGGTTCGACTATCAAGTCATTGAAGAACCGCTGGTTATTGAAAGAGACGGAAAGACATTCTCCAAGACTATCTTCATTGCCCGGGGCCAGCGCCAGTAAATTCTGATCTTTGGGGGGATTAGTATAATAACTGACTATGTATGGTAATGAGACATGAATAGTACTATGTGTTAGGTTCTGAGCTATACATATGAAAATAGACTTGGACATAAAAAAAATCTATTGTCACCGTAGACTGTATACTCAGACAGGAATAGTCAGCTGCGCAAATTTTCAGTAAAACCTTTGGTCGTTACTGCATCAATAGTTCTGGGACAAATATGAAAAGAGTTGAGTTGCGGACGTTGGATGATGTGCTGGTAGTGATGGCTCGGGGAACGGCATCCAATCATATTTCAGGAATAGTCAGACACAATTGAGGCAGATTTGCAGCTGCACGCCTTCTGAAGGCGAGAACAGGAAGCTTGTCTGGCAGTATCAAGCAACATGGCATGTTTCTATGTCGGCCATACCAGTGACACTGATTGAAATTTGCAAATGGCAAGTGAAAGGGCTGAAAAGTGAAGGGGTAACTTGCCAGAGAGTAGTTCAAGGTGCTGTCCGAATCGGGACTAGTGCATAGGTCCCGTGCCGGCAGTTTGCGTTCTCCAGCACGACAATCGACAAGTTCAGCATCAAGCACGAGATCGCCTGCTGAGCGTTGCTCTCCCCATTCGCTTTTACTGCCCCACGAAACACCGATCCGGACGCAATTCGGTGGTCTCATCTTGATTCAGAGCTGAAGAGAGACCATGCAGAAGTGCCGGGCCGTCAATTCCGCCTTGGGCTCGAGGGCATTTGCCCCCGCCCCCAAGGTCCAACAAGTACAGCGCCGGAATCTCCAAGATGTTGCGATCACGAGAACCGGAAAGCCGATCCTGAAGGTCCAGGGTGGACGGTAAGTCCATTGTGTTGAAGCTATACAGGTGGATGGTGGCTAATTGGCACTCTTACAGGTCGTCTCTTGGAGGTACTTGGCCCTTTTTCCGATCGTCGCATTGCCCTCAGAAGATTTAACTGGAATTGTGTTCTAGGCCACACCGCCACTGTCTTCGGTGCTACTGGTTTCCTCGGTCGTTACATTGTCAACAGGCTCGGTAGGTCAACGGCTGACTCGCAGGACGTATGGAAGCTGACGGCGTCTAGCTTCGCAGGGATGCACGGTCGTTGTTCCCTACCGTGAGGAGATGACCAAGAGACATTTGAAGCCCACCGGTGATCTCGGAAGGGTCAACTTCTTGGTACAGTACCCGCAATCGATCTTCAAAGGTGGTCATCTCGACTAATCTGTGGTAGGAGTATGACTTGCGCAACACCCAGTCGATCGAGGAGAGTGTCCGTCATTCCGATATTGTTTACAACCTTGTCGGTCGTCAATATCCCACTAAGTCAGTGACAAACCAATAGAATGGAATGAACAGCTACTTATGATATGCAGGAACTTTTCCTATACCGACGTACACGTCGACGGCATCGAGCGCATCGTTGAGGCTGTCGCCAAGTATGATGTTGACCGGTACATCCACGTCTCCTCCTACAACGCCAGCAGAGACTCTCCTTCCGAGTTCTTTGCCACTAAGGTCCGCTTTTCAAGCCACAACATGTCAATATTATGCTAAGCTGACCTGTATAGGCCTGGGGAGAGGAAATTGCCCGTTCCATTTATCCCGAGACCACCATTGTCCGCCCTGCTCCTATGTTCGGTTTCGAGGACAACCTTCTCCACAAGCTTGCTAAGGTCACCAACCTCCTTACCTCCAACCACATGCAGGAGCGCTACTGGCCCGTTCACGTAAGCTACGTCTGATCCGGTTGCATTGGATACGATGCTGATTCAAATAGGCCCCCGATGTTGGCAATGCTCTGGAGCGTATGCTTCACGATGACTCCACTGCTGGTCAGACTTTCGAACTTTACGGTCCCAAGAACTACTCTACTGCCGAGATTGCCGAGCTGGTTGACCGTGAAATCGTCAAGCACCGCCGTCACATCAACGTTCCCAAGCCGATCTTGAAGCCTGTTGCCCACTACTTGAACAAGCTGCTCTGGTGGCCCATTATCTCGCCTGATGAGGTTGAGCGGGAGTTCATTGACCAGGTGATCGACCCCAATGCTAAGACCTTCAAGGACTTGGGCATTGAGCCTGTTGATCTGGCCACCCTTACTTTCCACTACCTGGTAAGCACTCTACGGCAGTCTCGATGGTTTCTACCGCGTACTAACAGTTGCATAGTTGGGATACCGTAGCGCTTCGTACTACGATCTGCCTCCGGCCACGGAGCGGGAGAGACAAGAGGAGAAGAAGTATCTGCACGTCTTGGACGACCAGTAGTCTGTGTTTCTTTACTGTACATAAGCTAGACATCCATTTCTTTTTCATTTGTGCCAATGAGTTTGTATGTGACAGTAATTGAACTCGACAGCGCTACCGAGGTCATTATCTAGAGTTATACAAAAGTTCCTCCATAAATAATCATAAACTAAGCACCCCACTCCGCTGTTGAACCGCCTCCGCACTTCTCTCCCAAACCCACCACCAAACATCAACACCCTCCAAAAAGAACCAAAACCAACGGATTAACAAACGAAAAGACAAAATGCCACCTCAATTCACCTTCAACACCTCATCGACCCCAATCCTCCTCCTCAAAACCAAATCCTCCCCGAAAGACAGCTACGAAGAATACTTCTCCGCACATAGCTACACCCCCACCTTCATCCCAGTCCTCGAACACAACTTCCACAACCCAAACCTAACCACCGTGAAACAGCTCTTCCAGTCAGGAGCCCTGAAACCCGGCCCGGGCCGCAAATACGGTGGTCTGATATTCACAAGCCAGCGGGCCGTAGAGGGATTCGCGACGATCCTCAACGATATCGATGGTGAGTTTATACCCACACCATCCCTCTGGAACATTCATTTCAAATAAAGTTCTTTTCTACCTGCAAGGGAAAAAAAAAAAAAAAAACCTTCACTAACTCCCGCAAAACAACAGAATCAACTAAACAAACCTCTTCCCATTCTCTAATCCTCTACACCGTCGGCCCCGCTACATCCCGATCCTTAACCTCCATTCGAGACGACCATCTTCCCCACGCAACAATCCTCGGCGAGGAGACAGGGAACGGCGAAAACCTGGCGCACTTCATCCTCTCCCATTATAACCCGTTGTATGACTCGCAAGATGGCCCGAAACCGCCTTTGTTGTTCCTTGTCGGGGAGCAGCGGAGGGATATCATTCCCAAGACGTTGATGGCGGGGTCGCTGTCGCCGGAGCAGCGGATTGGGGTTGATGAGTTGGTAGTCTACGAGACGGGAGTTATGGGGGGGTTTGAGGAGAGTTTTGCGGAGGCGGTTCGTGCTTCGGAGGAGTTTTTGGGGGGTGGGGTGGAGAGGGCGGTTTGGGTGGTTGTGTTTTCGCCAACGGGGTGTGACGCTATGGTACGGGTGTTGAAGGGGCTTGGGGATTCAGAGAGGAGGGTGTTTGTTGCTACGATTGGGCCTACAACGAGGGATCATTTGAAGAGTAAGTGTGGGTTTGAGGCGGATGTTTGTGCCGAGAAACCGAGTCAGGAGGGAGTAGGCATGGGCATTGAGGAATTCATGGAGAACTGGAGGAAGGATAAGACAGGGCAATAGGTCTATTTTGCCTGCGATCGATGTTTGTATCTATACCAGTATCGTAGTATATACCCGTTATGATTGATGAACAATCTTACGCTGGCTGAGAACCTCGGCAATAATGTATTTCCAGCTCAAGATTGACGAGCGTAAGACCGGCTTATCTGTTAAATAAGTGAAAGCACCAGACGCCTAAAAACGTGTCAAAAAGGCCAATCATGAGACTCAGCCAATATCATAGTCGATGTGCGAGTGTATTACCCTGGCTTGTCGTCTATGCAACTAGATATTACGTGCATGGGTTCGGTCATCCCATCCTATTTATCCCGACCTGTATTCCATCTTTCCCGATGGATAGGCTGTCCAATGCAAGCTCACCGCATGATTTCCTCGTAGATTAGCACTGCACATGTTAGCATAGGAACAACGAAGCATGTCTGTATAATTGAGTTTGACTCACTCTTCAACTGCTCCTTGCTAAGGGCATCCTTATTCTTGTCAAAGTCGAAGAACCCTTCCGGAATGGGAGGTGCCGTGGGCTCATCGTCGGGGTCATGATACGGTTCCAGGTACGGATGACGCAAAGCTTCCTCCACCGTGATACGCTTAGCAGGGTTGAATGCCAGGAGCCTCTCCAGGAGGTCCAGGGCCAAATCGTTAGCCTTCGGAAATAGCGCCTTAAAGGGGATCTTCTTTTTGAAAGGGAGAGACCGAATGTATTCCCGAGCCCGTCGGGATTTGATTCCATAGTAGTCCTCCATTGTTGGTGTACCAAGAACGTCCAAAATAAGAGTCAATTGGTGATGATCTTAAAGATATATTAGCTGACTGTCTCCAATGATTGTTAAGGAACGACATACAATCCTTTCCGGGGAATAGAGGTTTTCCGCTCAGCATCTCGGCGAGGATACAACCAACACTCCACACATCAATGGCTTTGGTGTACTCCTTGAATGTCAACATGATCTCTGGCGCACGGTACCATCTGGTCGCCACATATTCTGTCATGAACCCTGAGTTATCATCTGTGGAGGCAGCTGAACGGGCCAAGCCAAAATCGCAAACTTTCAAATCGCAGTTTGCGTTGAGGAGCAGGTTCGAAGGTTTCAGATCACGATGAAGAACATTTGCTGAGTGCATAGCTTTGAGCGCACGTAGAGTCTGGTAAATGAAATATTGACAGTGATCGTCCGAAAGGTCTTGGGTACGAATGACCCGGTGCATGTCAGTCTCCATCAGCTCCTGGGGACTGATTAGTGTCTAATTATTCTCATCTAGTCTTCTGCGTGTAAATACCTGGATTAGATAAACTTCGTTGAAGCTCTCGTAGTTGCGTGGTCTCTGGATATCCAGGATAGAGATGATGTTCTCATGGTTAAAATAGCGAAGCAGCTTCATCTCACGCAAAGTTCGCAAGCAGAACATCGAGTGGTCGAAAGGGGTAATCTTCTTGATGGCGACTTTTTGGCCAGATGGTTTGTGGATGGCAGAGCTGGGCTGTCAGCATAATACCAACCTCTCCTTGTGCCGGCACTTACCAAACCACACCGTAGGCACCTTCACCAATGACATCTTGAATTTCATATTGGTCGGAGACGTTGAAGGAGATCTTTCGTGAACCTCCCTGGGGAGGAAGTTGCTGCACCATATTCGTGGACTGTCCGAACTAGACTGTATTAGCGGAATGTGTAAGACTTGTGGCTGTGGTGGTTGATTGCTAATTGGGCTGCGCTTCACTTCCGCATTGACTACCGTGGGTGAGGCAGTCAAATTGACAGCGACTCCCAGCGACAAGGCATTGTGTAGTTGGGTCACAAACTATCCGGTACATCATCGGCGGGCAACATAGCAGTAAACATAGCAGGTTCATGATAACCCCGGCAGTAGTTATTGAGAATGCGCTTACATTCGCTCAGACGATAGGCTCCCCTTTTATAAATGCTTTGGGACACTTTGAGCAAGTTCGTACGCCCTGGCGATGCTGATAGAGAAACAGTTTTCGGAATTTGTTCTAATTGACTGCGGGGTAGGTATGGCGTTGTGTCTGCTGCCAAACGATTCGTCGAGGGTTGCAGGAAGTTCGGTACAGATATAACAATGACTGAAACGGCACCGAATGCGAGATTGAAATAGCCTGGACTAACAGAGATAGCGAACGGCGCTTAAAGCGAATGATCCGGTGTACTAAAGTTACTCATGTTAGTAACTTTCCACCATCGAACGATTCCACAGCTGATCACATCGGCGGTGTCAAATCAACCGTCACCACCGGGGAAGCATCCGTACATGACTCGGAATTAGTCTTTGTCCTTTAGTCTCGGAAGTTGATGTTTCAGGACTGTTGTTCTATTTTACTTCCTGAATTGTCTGTTCCTTCTCTCCTGCGTAGCTTCAGCAATCAGTTTGGAATACTTCGACCTCGGCAATGAGATTGGAGCTGGATAATGGATAAAAAGCGTTGGGAGTCGGTGTTCTGACAGATGCAGCACCGTGGAAGAACAGGAGAACCAAGCAGCAGTGATCACAGTAACGCAATAGTCGCAGCAATAGTAGGAAGTTAATAACGGGGAGCGGATCAGCGAAAAGTGGGGTGGGGCAGAATGGAGGGGAAGAAGACGACGACGACGACCAAGAGAAAATAGAGAGAGATCCGTACCAGTCAGTTCTTGATGATCGTACACAACGAGGCTGAGAACCAAATCCCTGGAAGGGGAACGCAACGGAGAGGATCCAGAACCAGCGTGTTCGATTCCCTAGATCTTCTAGATCGGATGGAACCGTGGATCAATTCTTTACTCGATGTGGGATGATATACGGGGGGGGGAGGGGGATGGTCTGAAAGGAGAGGTAGGAGAAGGCAAGACACGCATACAACAAGGTTGGTTCCGCTGGGGGGGAAAGCAACCAAGTTAAGTGCCGTTTGGCTCGACAAAAATTCCGAAAAATGGAAATACGAATCGAAAAAAGGATGGAGAACCTCTTCTACTTTTTTGGGGGGGTAAATGATGGATCACGGGGAGGGGCGGCGGATAATGTACGTATTTAGTATGTGATCCATAACCTAGACCTATACTATAGGGTACTGTCCTTTCTAGGTACCTAATACATCCATTAAATCCAATATGTCTCTGGTACAAAGACAAGACATTGAACTACGGGGTCAACTAGTTGCTACTAGTCAACACTGGCTGGGCTTAGTGACTAAAATCACCCATAAGGTTACAAATCCTGTAACAGCCACGTATTGGGGCAGGGAAACTACTCAGGAACCCGTACGGAGTCAGGTACCTCTAGACCCGTTTGTATGAACGAAAAGACATGTATGATACCAAGATGATACTTAATCACAGGACCGCCACGCCCTACCTATAAGCTCTTCTACTTCCCAATTAGCATGGGCAATCTCAGGGTCCGGTATTCATCTACTGCGTCTTAATTTGCTTTTTTAATTATGGTATCACGAAAACCAAGAGAGGGTTTGTTGAGCAGCTGTATGGATCATCCTCCCAAACGACGGTCAATTTTCCCTCTGGAATTTAAATGGGTCTCCCCTCCCAAAAACTTACTCTATCCCGGCCAGTGTTTCAATGCCATCCACCACCAAGTAACCCGCCACCAGCGCCAATTGCCTCCTGATGGAGTTTAGTCCACGTCTCAAGTGTTAGTCCAGTGGAGAGGGGGCAGTGCCGTTGCCAACCTTCACCTCGCGCTACTGCTCATCATCACAGTCGTCACAAGTTTACTGCATCTCCGTCTCTCCTTTTGTTGTCTAATCTCCCGAATATCTTGGCATTCCCCTTCCTCATGTCGCCAACGCCGTCCCCATGCTCGCCTCTGATTCGCTCTGCGGCACCCAGCCTTGTCAACTGAGCTGATATGCTAAGCTGTGATCTAAAGTCTACTGTGCATGATCGGCCTGACAGACGCTCGGGGCTCATGCACGCTTTTTCCCATGAGACAGATTCCGGGCATTGCATAAAGGATATACTTTGGTTTGAAATGATTCCAGGTGG